AACTAATTCTTGTTGATTTCACCGCGCCTACCACTCGGCTACCCATTACAATGTTTGCAGCCCTGGTGATGCTTGCAGCCCTGGTGATGTTTGCAGCCCTGGTGATGTTTGCAGCCCTGGTGATGTTTGCAGCCCTGGTGATGTATGCAGCCCTGGTGATGTTTGCAGCCCTGGTGATGTTTGCAGCCCTGGTGATGTTTGGAACCCAGAACATTATACTAACCCTGTGGTGGTGCTCTTCGGACAGAATCTTCCTCAGCCTACTCAATGTCAACTGTTGAAGCGAGGATTCCCGGAAACATGGCGCATTGAGCAGGGAGTGGTGCTTTCCTGGTGAAGTCAAGTCAGCGGGAAAGCGCCAGCTCCAGTGTACGAGCAACAAACGTTGATATGACTGGAAAAAACCTTTCGCATGATGAATGGATGATGGATGAAGAATGAAATATTCGACTTTCGAGCTTTGTAACTCTGGAAGGGCATATCGTAGCACTTCAGCGATTGTTTCAATGGGCAGCTGAAAGTTTTCTCGTCGGCCTACATCTTTTAGTTTTTTTAAATAACCCATGAATGACTGAGTTACGATCAATTGAAATTTTAAAAAGTTTCGATTCCGGGGGATCGAAAGTTGTACAGTCCGTACACGAAGGGTTAACTTAAAATCGGATACTGCGCCATTACTATTTATACATGTACTTCTGAAGTAAAATGGAAGAAAACACATGAGAACTAGTTATGTAGCAACTTGATATCCAAGAATGTAACACGACAATAAGAAGTCAGTGGCGCAGATCATTCAAGGTCTCAGTAGCCTGTCAGTTTTGTGCGCTATCATTGCACTTTCTCACTGCTTATTATCTTGTTCCAGTCGTGGATAGTTGTTTCATAACTTGTTTCCATGTGTTTCTTTCTCTTTTAGATAATTTTTTTAATGATGAATGAATGCTTTCACATGAGAATGTTGAATGATGCTTCCAGTTGGGGACACAACTCAAAAGAACATGACCCTCGTGTTACATGTCCTCCTTCTCCTCAGCGCTGAAGGATGTGGTCATCCATAGCAAATACCTGTTGTCTGTTGCTGCTGTGCCACTATTACCAGTTCTAGCACTGTGCGTGTACCTCAAGTACATGTGTTGTGAACCCTCTAAGATTCTCTAAATTGTCAGGATCGTACGACCACACGGCACGAGGACAACTCTTTTCCTTTACACAGTATATTTCACTTCATCGAATAATTAACAATGAACACTAATAACACCAGCTATTTATAGCATGCAAAAAACAGCGTACATGCAAAACATACGCATATAAAACGGGTCATAAAGCCTAGTTCACATTCGACGCAACGCCGACGGTACGGGACGTAAGGGCTTGTCGGGAGGGCTGGGGTGAGCTGTAAAATCCTGTACGATTCGTACGACACAACATGCAGCAGTCGTTGCGACGTTCAACGTCGAACGGCGCGAGTCATAAGGCACGGTCCGTGACGGGGTGACTTTCGAACCTAATTTCTCGTTTTTCGGGACTTCTTTTCAATTATTTCTCGTTGAAAGAAGCGGAATCAAGTCCACAATACCAGTTTTCATGGAGATCAAAAAATTAGCGCTGAAAGTTGTGGCATTCAAATAATAGCCCCAGGAAATGGTAGAAGATTTCGTCTGTCACGCTTCTGAACTATCCCAAAATACAATAAGTGACATGAGATCTTATATTGCTAAAATTCAACTGAAGTCGTGCTACCCATTCGGTGAGTTATCATGGGAAGCGCAGTGTTCAAAATGCTAAAAATTTCCAAGTACGAATCGGGAGTAGTCGGCGCACGACGCCGTCTCCTGTTCACACTCGAATTGCAGCCGTTTTGTACGCTTGCGTCCCCGTCTACGCCCGTCTACGGTGTGAAAAGTTGGATCGATCCAACTCTTCCCGTCGCTTCCCGATCTGTACGGTAGTACGGTTGCGTTCCCGTTCCTGGTGTTCACATTGGACGCCGTCAGACCGTCCCGTCGCTTCCCGTCGATCCTTACGTCGCGTCCCGTCGCGCCCCGTCGAATGTGAACTAGGCTTAACAGCGTATACAGCAAAACGCACACAGCGCATATAGCGTATGCCATGCAGCAACATCAGCGGTACGGCGGAGTCGAAATACAACATTGCAACGAGTACAATGCCATAAGCGCGAAGGCCTTTCCCACTTGAGAACTGGTGGTTTGCAACAACATGCACGGCATTCTTGAATGTAAGTAGGATTGTCCGTATTTTGCTGTGGTGATTCAAACAGATTTTGTTGTTTTGAACTTCGAGTTGAACGTTGTCGAACACTTTGTTTATCAAAATATGCTACACGTGCATGGGCACGTGCATGTGTATGCAAACGTACATCGTTGAACCGGAGGCATGACAATGCTGACACTTGGATCCACTGTAACTTGAATCCAGTGCTGCATTGTAAGTCTCAGCATTGCAACACATGCTACATGCTATGTATTGTAGCTTGACGTACATGTTCTGGTAAAACTCCACCGCACCTAACACGTGACCTTTCAAAACTGTCACTATTATGCTACGGTAGTGCTGGTTCAACTAAAAAGTAAGTAAGGCTCAACTCTCTGCGTTACAATCGTCTTAGAAAGCTAGGGAGCAAATTTATTGGTTTGAACCTACATGTTCGTCTCAATTTGTTGTCGCATACAATTCTAACAACCACCTGGCAATTGTCCTTGGCATGCTCATACATGTATCGCTGCCAGACCAGGAAAATGTGGATACATAATGTTGTATTTCAAGTAGTTGCTAAATCTGCGGACAGAACTGTTTCGTCCTTTGTGGACTCAACGGCGCAGAACAGAGAAAATTAGGCAGAACCAGATACCGGTAGTAAAGTAAAAAAAGTAAGTAAATTATCGCATCCGTTCCCGAAGGGAACTCACGACGGCCGCTAACACCCGATAAACCCTAGCGGCAGATGCAGCGCCTAACGGTGAGGGTGAGTGGGTAAGTCTCACAACCACTGGCACAAGTGCCGAAAACGACCCCATTAGCTGCATCCATGTACCACTTGTGCCTGGCCAAAAGTTCCAAGTTGATTGTGGGTAGCAGCACGGCTGGAAAAACCGCTCCCAGGCAGGACTTGAGCCAGGTACCTCTCGTATCTCAATCATGGTCTTTGACCAACCCACTATGCCTGCCTGGTTGTAATGAAATGCAAATTTCCAAAAGCCAGATTTAAACCAGGCCCGAACGTACCTTGCCGGCCTGCTCAAACTGACAAGTCAGTGAGCTCTGCATAGCGCAAACAACAAAGTCACTACCCCACACGAGAGTGGTCAACTCATACAACGTCAAGAGTAGGAGCGAAATACTTTTAAATTCTACGGACAGAAATGTTTCGTCCTTTGCAGACTCATCCGAGCAGCACAGAGAAAATGAGGCGGAACCTGATAGCAATGAAAAATTGAATTTCCAAAGCCAGATTTAAAACAGGCCCGAACGCACCTTGCCGGAATGCTCAAACTGACAAGTCAATGAGCTCTGCATAATGCAAACAGCAAAGTCACTACCTCAAACAAGAGTACTCAACTGCTACAAGAGCAAGACTACAGTGTACATGTATTGTATTAACTGGCTCAATATTCGAATTATGTCTCGTTATGAACTTTAACTCCAAATCTCCCCCTCACACAATGTATAACGCTTCACATTTCCAAATCCAACAACGTCTTGGCCCTTAGGAAATTCACCATGTGGTACGTAGGCGAGAATAGAGCACTGACCCTGAATGCCAAGTGCAATAACAGTACAAATATTCTCATGACCAGAATCCATTTCCTTTGATTTCGGCCTGGAATTTCACACAATATAAATCTTACTTTGTAAACCGTTCTTCCTGAAACCGCAAATTACATGAAGAATAGGACAAAGAGATGCCGAACAGCTGATGATGCCGTCATGAGCACAAAATGGAAGACGTTTTTTAAAATTTATAATTGCAGTGGGGTAGTGAAGCATTGAAAACGTTTCTGCATTGACTACAGAGCAAGTGTATTCTAACTGAAATAGAAAGGAGTAGACGAAAAATGTTGTACATTGCGAGTTCCGTACTAAGGACGCTGTTGTAAGAACCGCGTGTCCCACAAAAGTAGAGGCAATCATGTGCATTACAAGGAAAGCATTGCATACTGGTAACAGAGGTGCAGTTGAAAACGAATTGTGGTAGTTTTGAGATGTAGAAAAACATACACACGTAGGTACAACATACATACATAGGTACAACATACATACATAGGTACATGCATACATACATAGGTACATGCATACATACATAGGTACATGCATACATACATACATAGGTACAACATACATACATACATAGGTACAACATACATACATACATAGGTACAACATACATACATACATACATACATACATAGGTACATACATACATAGGTACATGCATACACAAGTAGGTACAACATACATACATATGTACAACATACATACATACATACATACATACATACATACATAGGTACAACATACATACATATGTACAACATACATACATACATACATACATACATACATACATACATACATACATACATACATACATACATACATACATACATACATACATACATACATAGGTACAACATACATACATACATAGGTACATGCATACATACATACATAGGTACAACATACATACATACATAGGTACATGCAGATAGATAGAATGGATAGATACATGTATTAGGGATTGATTGAGTGATTAGATAAAATGGATATTTCAAAGTAGATAGAGTGGACAGATAGAAAGGCCAATAGACAGAATACAATGTAGAAAAACGGGAAGCAACTTTTATATTCTAACGCCGTGTTGCCTGCCTCAGGGAGACTACCAGACAACAGTAAACACTACTAGATTGTACATAGATGGAAAGGGGGGGGGGGGGAGAGAGAGAGAGAGAGAGAGAGAGAGAGAGAGAGAGAGTAGAGGGGGAGGGGGCAGAGGGATTTGGAGGCAAACGTCTAGTTCTGTTGGTTATTGCAAAGTTCTTCGATATGCAGAGTGGATGTGATGGTACCCGAACCATGGTAGTAACCCAGGGAAGAGGTGGATGTAGTGCATTGTGCCTCTATGTGTGTAGAGAAGGACAGCGGACCTGAAGTGTTGATATTGCAAATACCACTCACAACACCAGCATCTATTTGATAGTGGGGTGTTGAACCAGAGCTTCCACTTCTGATCGGGGCTGGATCTGAACAGTCACTGCCGTTGATACGCACTGACACCTTCACACAATGCCACTGAGTGTTCCCATGATAAAATCCAATAGAGGTTGTGTACACCACTCTGATAACAGTGTCAGGTCTAGTCTTGTTGAACACGACTCCACTGAACGGGGTCCTACTATTACTACTCGATGTCTTCATTGTAAATGTCTTCCAGGATACAATTCCACACTGCAAAAGACCAAGAATTATATTGCAAATATGCACAAGATATGAGCATAATTAAATTTTACCCAATTTGTGGCAAGCGATTGTGATGTTATTTAGCCAGGACGATGTTGAGTAGCCGTTTTCACTGCAGTAAGTCCAGGAATAGGGTTTACTGGGTGTTAGCAGCCGTCGTGAGTTCCATTAGGGAATGAAACTCCCGGCTGAAGCTTGGCCAGCCTTCGCATAAGTTGCTCCATAATGATGAGACGAAACAATGAATGCATGTATATACGATCTAGGACAGAACCAAGGTTGAGGATATTTTTGAAGAAAGCTGAAAGTTGTGTTGAGGAACAAAACGTTGAACACTCTACGAAAGTAAACTGCAACAAATGTTTTGGACACGAGAATATACTCTTTTTGTTTACTTGGACTTAAACTCCGGAATAGACACAGAGGTGAGGTAGTGCTGGGAGACAGCTAAAACAATACTTCTGAAGTAATAAGCAGTTATACCTAAGAGATCATCAATGGACCAGACTACCAATCTCTCCCGGCCTTAGCCCGTCATGAAACTGTTAAGCACAAGCCAGGTAGACTGTGTGTAGGCAGTGGAGACGTCCAGCGGAACAGTTTACACAACAACTGCCAAACTGTCACAATCTTATTGTTATCCTCTTTGATATTGCTACATAATTATAGTCATATAGGTACAATTTGTTCACATCTTGCCACTGCCAGTTTGTTTCCTGTCGAGCGTTCTCATTGGTTTTGTAGGTGTGTTTCACTCTTTATAACCTGATTCATGGCATGTTTAGGTTTTCGTTCACTTGGAATAATCCTGGAACTAAGTTGAAACTGGTACACGCAGCAGTAACGACCACTAGACATTGTACAATTACAAGAACAGTTGTGGAAAAATTGTGGTTTTACCTAATATAGGCTTTACTACGACTGTGGAAAAAAACTGGCAAAGCAGCATCAAGGAGAGCCCTCGTTTCAACATTCACTTGCAAGGGGCATAGTCTGCACCAGTTGACTCGGGAAAACAGGGCATGCCTTCAAAATGAGCTTGGAAGAAAATGTATATAAGGTTTTTTGCTGACATAATTATACGCCACATGCCATGTACTGCTCTTTTCTCTCCGAAACTCAACACTTGCAAGCCAGATATGAAAGAAAGATATGGATTGATCGAAGGACAGATTTACCATCACTGTGGATAAGAGTCATATTGTAGCTCAGTTGGTTAGAGCATTGCTCGCGAATAGCAAGGTCCCTGGTTCGAGTCCCGGTGATGTGACTGATGATTTTTCTTTCTTTAATATCTGGCTTGCAAGTGTTGAGTTTCGGAGAGAAAAGAGCAGTACGAGGCATGTGGCCTCTAATTTCCTAAAACTTTAAAATTCTCCGTTAAGTCCAAATTTGACATAATTATACGTATCAACATATCCGATTACCTGCCGGTATCAAGTCTACTCTGCATCTCATTTAAACCTGCTTCACGCCTTCCAACAAAGTTACCCCTACTCAGTACAGTCACTTAAGGCTCTCCTTTTTGGACTCTCTTGACTTTAATCTCTCCCTCTGAGGCTAGTCACTTGAATTGATTAGACGCCGAGGCCTCGTAAGTCATTTCTAGGACAGCACTTCTAAGTCTTATTGCGTGTATTTATTACAGTGCATGACAGAAATGCTTAACTAACCTTCTTTCTTTCCTCCTGCAGAGTAGCATTGATAGATGCAATCTGCTCAACAGAATGTTGCTTCATTAACTTGAAGTGTTGCTTCGTCTGTTGGAAAAGATTTGAAGAAAGATCAGATAGACACTAACCCTTTTTCTTTGGTGTTTTTCAAATATTCTCATTCATTTTTAATACTGGCATGAAGTACAGACACTTAGATAAATATGTGCATGTTCCAGTCCGAGGATTTAAGTTGCGTAATAGACACTGTCATTCTGTAATGTGTGAAAGGCCAAAGATTATGTGAAAAAGTCGATGTTTGACGACTTGAGCCAGACTGTCATTTGGAACGTACATGACTGTATCTCTGGTTATCCCCATCCCTCACACAAACAAGTCAACAAAGAGGCATCTTTGGATTGAGGAGTGCTGGTTTCGAAACAACTGGTTTGAAGCTCAAAGTAGAGCTGGTGTTAGCTCAGAGCAGAGCTGCTGTTAGCTCAGAGCAGAGCTGCTGTTAGCTCAAATCAGAGCTGCTGTTAGCTCAAAGTAGAGCTGCGGTTAGCTCAAAGTAGAGCTGCGGTTAGCTCAAAGTAGAGCTGCTGTTAGCTCAAAGTAGAGCTGCGATTAGCTCAAAGTAGAGCTGCTGTTAGCTCAAAGTAGAGCTGCTGTTAGCTCAAAGTAGAGCTGCTGTTAGCTCAAGGTAGAGCTGCTGTTAGCTCAAAGTAGAGATGCTGTTAGCTCAAAGTAGAGCTGCGGTTAGCTCAAAGTAGAGCTGCTGTTAGCTCAAAGTAGAGCTGCTGTTAGCTCAAAGTAGAGCTCCGGTTAGCTCAAAGTAGAGCTGCTGTTAGCTCAAAGTAGAGCTGCTGTTAGCTCAAAGTAGAGCTGCTGTTAGCTCAACGTAGAGCTGCAATGCTAAATGGATGTAATATAGCGCAAGGCAGAGCCGCAGCAAATAGCTAGATAACACCAGTTGTGAGAGTGGACCCATGAAACCAGCACTCCGTTAGCTAAGCACTATTGACGCACAGCAAGGGTCAATTAATGTCAGCACAGGCAAGCATTGCGCAGCTAGAGTTCAGTAGCTCATTACTCACCAGAGTTGGGGATCATGGCATCCATGGCACGGCAGCAAGCCGGGACGATAACTGGCGCTATGCGCTTGTTGTAGTCCGGATGTAGCATAGACACGCATCGCTCTTTCCACTGACCTGCCACTCGGAAGAAGGAGTCGGGGGCACTAGCCATAGCAGCGGTGGTGGCTGCACCAATGTGGACCGAATGCCCGGAGTAGTTCGACTGGGATGGTACACCGGCCGCAGCGACAAGAGACCATACTGTTACTGTGAATGACTGCCTGGTCAGCTGCTGTCTGTTCGAGAGTACGAACAAGAGTTGCTCCGGTCCCTCGCGACGAGTCACAAATGGGTAGCTAACAATGGCACGGACCGGGCAGTACGGCGGTACAGACGGGCCAATGTCACTAGTAACGCCTTTACCGAATGGGTCCGTCTTGGATGAAAGCAGGAAGAGTTGCAGGCGTCCGTCACCAGGGGAGCTAGTACAGCCCCGTGTGATGCCATTAGTGAATTCAGCGCACCGAAGAAATCCGAAGAAGCAGCATGGCGGCTTGGTAGAGCAGCTTGTCATGGCCATTCAGGATACTACTTTTCCGGCGTGCATCCGTCAGGTGTCGTAGGATTGGCATAGTTATAGGAAGGCGAGGGGTGAGTGCAGCCGTACCATGGCATCGCTGGATGCCCTTCAACACCCTCTTCAGAAGCCACGCATCTACTAAGGGGCCGGCAAACCCATTCTCAAGGTGGGCTTTATGCACCGCACTCGCATACACAGATACAGTTCAGGGCACGCTGATCATAGTTCGCGCATGAATGTGTGTCCAGGAACGATGACTCGGGCAGCAAAAGTGAGCTTCCCAGGAGGGACTCGAGTTGACGCTGGCCGATGCTGCGCTCGCTGATAGTAGCCATGAGTGGCGCACGGATCTCGGACAGCTTGTCCTCTGGTAGCCGAGCTTCGTGGCGCTCGCAGTCTAGGACAATACCAAGGAAGGTCAATGATGGTGATGGCCCTTCGAGCTGGGATGGAGCAAAGAGAAGTGCTGAGATACGTGAACGCCCGGAGGGGGATGGTGAGTTGCTGGTTGGCTGCAGCCAAACCAGTGGAGATATCAAGAAAGTCATCGAGGTAGTGAAGCCGGTGATCTATAGCAAACTCGTGCTGCATGATCCAGTTGACTGCTGTGGCTACTCAGTCAAAGACGGCTGGGCTGGAGCGGAGGCCGAAAGGCAGAAAGCGCTCGTAGTAGTAGGAGCCTTCCCAGCGAAGTCCTGACGGCAGACTGGGATCTGCCGAAATGCACTGCGTACATCGAGCTTGGACAAATACACAGGCTGTGGGCATGACATGATGATGTTTATCGCGTTATCAATGCTCGGGTAGTGCAGAGAGAGCGGCTCGGCAGGAATGCTGTCGTTCGCGCCGGTGCCTTCCGGACTAGACAGATGGTGGATCATTCGCGGCTTGCCGTTCTTTTTCGGGATGGCACCAATACCAGAGCGGCGCATGAACTGAAATGGAGGTGACGGAAATGGGCCTGTGGTCTCGCTGCGGGCGCAGGAAGCAGCTAATTGCTCGGATATAAATGCCGAGTGAGTGAAAGCCAATGGTAGATTATTAGAGAAAACCGAAATGTCGTGTTGGCCGGCAGATCCAAGAGTAAAGCCACGGCGCCGGCCATGGAGAACATACGCAACACATGATTGATCTGAGTGGTTACGTAACAGGCGGGCAAAGTGGTCAGCTAGCAGTGTGGTGTCTGCAGAGTGTATAGGAAAGAAGCTACGTACCGAGTCAAGCGATCCAGTAGCCATTCTGCTAGGAGCGGCGGGGTGGCCGATTGGCTCCGCGCTGCTGCTGGTTGCACATGATGCATGGGTGGTCCTTGCCGCACTGGCTGCAGGTGTGGGAGAAGCGGCACGACGACAAAGAACAGCGACCTCCATTGAAGTTGCGGCAGATTTCTTGGCCGTCGCTGGTATGGTTGCGACCACTGGAGGTAAATGCTGCTGGCTTCGGGACGAAAAGGACACAAACCGCCTCTGGATGGACCGTCTTACATTGAGCGCATTTTGGGTGTGCATGGCCTGTGACAGCTATCTGCCATAGGTTCACGTCGATGGTGTCCAACCTCTTCGTGCCTGGTTACTGGGCCACGAGCATCTGCAGCTGGCGGTCGTACTCTAGCCACGCACTTGGGAAGAACTGGCGGTTAGCAGTCAGGATCAACTGCTGGTACGCAATCAGTTCAGCAGTGCGGTGTAGGGCAGCAGCCGTGATAACAGACATGTATGTGGTCCATGCCTCGAGCCGGGTAGCTACATGTGTAATTATCGTGAACCTTGCGACGCACCTGCTTCGCGTCATCCGACTCAACGATATTTAGCTGGCTATCGTTATTCAGGCTGTGCACCAGCCGGAATGTTGGGCCGGAAGTGTGCAAGAATTTCAGGCAACAAACTTGAAAAATCTACGAACTCCCCTCGCAAGATACGTTCTTGCACAGCCTTGGGCACAGCTGGTGCAGGTGGCTGATCGGGTGGGTTACAGGAGCTTGGCCTGGCGTAGTGGCGGCAGCTGCCGCATTGCCTTGGCCTTGGGTGAGGAGCGGCACAATGCTCTCCGATAATAATAAAATGGCGGCGGACAAAGCCGACTACACCTCGTCCCGTACGGGAGCGCAGAGATCAGTTGAGCCCGCGTCACCTGAGCTGGCGGAGGAGGCATCGGTGCACGTCGGGCTTCTGGGCTCGTGAGCCGTGTCCGCACTGTCAGGTTGCTGGTTCTCCTGGCCGGAGCAGACCTCACTACCAAGGGCTAGTTCTAGTAGTTGTGCCAGCAAACGGTCCTGTAAAATACTTTTACTAAGCTTCCTTTCGGATTCAAGCCGCGCTGAGAAGGCTCGCCGCGGAGGGCTTGGCAAGGCATTGCCTTGACAGTGTCGACAGTAAGGTCAGACATACTGAAGAAATACAGTGTCGAGGTGACACTCGGGCTGGCAGCAAAGCTACGAAAGGAAAAGAAACACTGCTGAAGCACGATCCGTTGTCTGGAAGAGCACAACGGGGCAAGCAAGATTTGTTTTTCTTTTCCGCAAAAATGGGCTGGTGCCATTTGTGATTACGCAGCAAAACAAAGCGCATGACGTCAGTCTTGAATGCAGTACAAAGCAATGCAGTGCAGTGTGTGCGCTAGTTCGGATTGTTGCTAACAAGTACTAGCACAGCTAGTACACCAATATCTCGACAAAAACTACCGAATGTGTGCTCTGGTTGATTTCTTTTTTTGTTTGGTGGCAGGTACAAGCTTGTCCTGCCATCTGAGCAAGCAGCCGGGTAAGTTGTTGCCCTTTTGGCCAATTGAGCATTGAATTCTGCTTGGAAGGATTTTGGAAACTCTGTTGTGAGTCAAGGTTGATTATGATCTCTTGGCCTGGATGTATGGAACACGCAGGGGTGCAGTGGTTTGGATTTCCATACTGTTAGCACATTATTGCAGTTCTGCTCTCCTCCAGTATCACCTGCTACAAGGACCTGTGACATCATGTGCCAGCTGATCTGCTCTGAATAACTGAATCCCAAGCGAACGGTACGACATGCACCTTTCATATCTAGGAAACACTGCATTGCTTTCCTACCTTCTGTCCTTCCTCCGTCAAAGTGGCATTGATTGCAGCAAACTGTTGAGCAGAATGTAGCTCCATGTTCTTGAGGTGTTGCTTTGTCTGTGAGAAGGAGTTCAAGTAAAATGAATTAGACTCAAATATACCAGGAATTTGCTTGCCCAGAGATAGCTTGACTATACACTCACTCAGGTTGTCTGAGTATGCAAAAGTGTTCATTGCCTAGCTACCGATTTGGATCATTTCCATTAGCTGTAGCTCTGGGAGAAAAGTACTCTTTAACGTCAATGCAGACACCGGGTCCTGTGTCTGCTCTTCCGAGAGGTCACAAGTTACACTATTCTCAAAATTTTATTGTCTCACGGATGACGTAGGTGTGGGACCTTCCCAAAACTCGACTGATTTTAAATCAGGCTGAGTACCAAGAACTGATTCAACTTTCTACAGAAAAAGTCACGTGAGTGACATGATATCACGAGTTCAAATCCTTACTGGACATTCTACTGGTTACAAACAAACAACGACATCCTACTGTGTTGTACATGTATGATCACGTGTCACTTGTTCAGTAGCTGAGTCTGCGACTCAGTTTTCAGACTGACTAAATCTCACCAGGTGTTTGAGATATTTCAAGCGGATAGGGGCACATTCACACACACAGAGGCTTGGATGCCTTGTAGTACGAAACCAGTGAAATACTGCATTGGTACGCTTACCCTTTAAACATCTATGGCCCAAATGAAGCCAAAACAAAATATCCGTCCGGTTAGACACTACGGGAAGTTGAGGCATTTTTGTACTTCATATATTCGATCATTCTGTGGTTCGTTATTATGATCACCTATGATCGCCGCTGATAATACATCTGCAATAATATTGCTGCTTTACATATGGCCACTTGGATTGGACTTCTTATAGTAGAAGTTTTTGATAACAGTTTCCCTTCCCTTCTTCTCCTGTGCTTCCTGGGATAAGTTCAATGATTTCATCTCCTCCTCAAAGGAGAGGAGTTTAACCTTGTTCTGCAAATACAGCGCAAACCAATATCCTGTGTGAAAAGAGCCAAAAGAGTACTGCTACATATGGCTGTAGAGTGTCAGAAAAGTTGTTGATTGTGATCAGATATTTAAAAACCAAACGAGAAAGCCACAAGAGATTGTCACCTGAATTTCCATTTGATCCACCTTCGTCTTCTGCTGGACAAATATGGTTGTCAGAACTTTCATGTCGGAGAGTAGTTTATTGATTTGAAGATCCCTTTCTTCCAGTTTCTCTTCCAGCTGCTTGTTGTAGGTTTTAACCGCTTCGATTTGGTAGCAAAGCTCGCTGTTTGCAGATGATCCACACAGGTCAACTAGAACAGGTGAAAGCAGAGCAAAATCTCCCAAGAATATCAACTGTTATCTCGGGTCCGTCCGTAATTATCCATCACTACCAAACGAAACACATTGTATTTAGGCGTGTGTAGGACTGCTGTGTCCCTGTGAGCGTACTCAGTAGGAATCAACAGACGTTTAGTCCGGCTGAATGTGAAATGGTATGCAGCTTTAAAAGCATCCAAAAGTGATATCGGTATGTTATGTCTTTGGAGCTGGAAACGACCACATTGCCCGATTCAGACCTTTCCAATGAGCCTCATATCTAGGAGGTCCAACAAGGTATGGAAAATGGGGTTCGATTTTGTTCCATGACGTGAATGCAGTTTTTGAAACGAGGTTAAGTGCGTTGACAACCCAATCGCCCTGGGAATACGAGGCCAACAGTGAACATGTCTCAACCCTTTCAGTCAGTTACCATGCTCAAAAGAAAATCCCGTTTGCATTTCCTTCAAGTCCATTTGGCACATCTCTACTCACGGATAGTGCAGTTCAAGGTTTTGACGATCCCTAGAAAGGACTGCCATCCGGAGCACACGAAGCACAAGAAGCGTGTGTTCCTAGTTGGAACAATCAACTTCATGACTATTACCGCCGAAGTCGCAACTTCTAAGTTCGTATTGTTGTCCCTCACGCGGACGTGCGACTAATTGTTGGAGGTGACAGCGTTGCGAATAGCTATACTGGCTCTCAACGTAGGTTTATCACAACTCCATGAGCGACTCTGACTCACGCTGCTACCTGGAGCTTCACGAGGTGTTTGTCGCGCTGGAAACAAAGCGTCTCTGTAAGTTTGTATCCCTGGTGATGGTTTGGCCTGGAGAGCAGTATATAAGTGGTGCTTTTCAGGCACAATCTTCCTCAGCCTACTCAAGCTCAACTGATGAGGGGTGAATTCCCCGAAACACCGTGTATTGAGCAGGGAGTGGTGCTTTCTTGCAGGTTTGCCGAGTGGAAGGCGCGACGTGCTCCTCGTGTGCTCCGGATGGCAGTCGTGAGTCAGTCAAGTGTCAAGTTCGGCAAGAAGCGTGTGTTCCTAGTTGGAACAATCAACTTCATCTCTGTAGTCTGTCCACGAATATTGAACTTCTGTGTTCCTGTCCTTTCTGGCCTCCAAAATACACTGTATGTCTGCGGTTTCCTAGACCTGTCAAACTATACTGCATTCGACGCCATCAACAGTATGACACTTACCTTGGCAGTTAGTACCATCTCCCTTGTACCCAGATTGACAGTAACAAGAGTATGAACCAACAGTGTTATTACACATTGCATGTTCATTACACTCATGTACACCATCTGTACATTCATCTAGATCTGGAAAGAGAATGTGAATAAAGGGAAAAGTCCGGGTATTCAACCAGTGCAATATACACATGACAGTGCTGGAAGGATGGGAGGTAGTCGTCCAAACTGTTATCATTAGCCACTGTTCAGTTTCGGTACTAGGAGCATAACTTGAAATCATATTCGGATGAATAAGCAAAATCATGATCATAAGAGAACTCGTGGCCGCATCATACTGCTGCTACACTTCAACTGAACGCAGGAGTATTTTTAATAGCTCACACGATGAACTCTTTTGCTGAAACTAGCAACATCGCGATTACCACAGCTAACTAACAAAAGTGTCTGCTAATGCTTGGCTTCATTTGCTCTCTGTCTCTTTCTCTCTCTCTCTCTCTCTCTCTCTCTCTCTCTCTCTCTCTCTCTCTCTCTCTGTCTAGATATTTATAATGACACCAATAATATTCAACATTTTGAAGGACGCTTCACGCAGCTTCATTGCACTTGACAATAATATTTTAGACAAATGACCCTCCGTATGTATGGCAGTTTATAGCCGAGCCCGACAAAAGTCTTGATCTCAAAGGCTTTTGTAACAGTAGACAATGCTCAGTGATCATAGAGGAAAACTGGAGCAGTTAAATGGGATTCAATGGGACTGCAGGGTATGACATTCCATGACACAGTAGGAAATACGAAGTTTGCTTCAATGTTGCCAGGACAAGTATGAATGAGGCTGCCTCCAATTTTAGCCATAACACGCCCAGCGACGTGCCTTTACTTGGCCTCATTGCCGGATTTCCCCAGTGAGTGGTTGCTATATTGAATTTGGCTTCGATTGGTTGCCCAGTTGGCAATGCCAACACATGCTCCCCGGTAACTCACCATTACACAAGCGTCCATCGGCTTTGAATCCCGTGTTGCATTCACACCCAAATGATCCATGAAAATTATAGCAAGTTGCCACAGCGGGTTGGTCACAGTTGTTCAAGTCTGGTTGACTACACTCATCTATGTCTGCACGTTCATGGAGTGTGGACAAACATACAAAGAAATGCTTACTGATGAGCTGAGGTGCTAATTACTTGCAGAAGTGATGGATACAACGAGGACAGGGGCAGAACACACAAGTTAGCGAGGGAAAAGGCTACTTATTAACTGTTCAACGCTGAGTTCCATTGAAATTCACCAAACTTCTACTGTATTAGCTCACTTATGAAATGAAAATACACCAATAGCCTTTCATTCATAATATCTTTCCTTTGTAGTGTGATGACGATCTCTGATGATTCTCACATAAAAACGACGTTCCAATCGTTTAAAAAAAGATTGTTCCATTGTTCTCTTGGTATGAGTGCACTCACTTTGCTTTCATCAATGTTTACATTTTGTTGCTTTTGTTGTACAAAATGAAGGGAAGCCCTTTACAAAGGGTTTCGCTTCTTTTTCGATGATCCTGCATGACACTCACCTGCATCACACCTCCTTCCAGTCAAACCAGCGGGACAAATACAAACAGCAAATTGCTGTGTAGTGTTGAACACACATTCTCCAGAGACTGAGCAAGGTAGGCGACTTGTGAAGTCAGCTGTGGGGCACTCTGGCGTTCGATCTGGATACAATTTGAGCGAAGGCAGAGCAGATGTCAGGAAAGAAAATTAGCAAACTATTCGGCAATTCCAAATTGATGTCACAGCAATACTGAACCTAGGAGAAGGCAGTGCATTGCCCCTGGTTTTTATTGGGCTATCCTGAAATATCCTATGCATTCGTTCTGATGTCTTCAGTCATTATCGGAGTCTTATATCCTCTAATCAGAAGTGGTTTTCCTAATTGTGACTTAACTCCTGCATTTGTGATCATGATAATCCTCTGGAAATTTTCAGCAGCAAGCGCTTCCGCCCGTACAGTAGCACCCTCACTTAGCTCCTGTCATGTTGTATTTCTCGCGAAATATTTTCAGTTGCAAATATGGCATCGGGTGTGTTCTTTATTGTCGCTTCTTTTCCTGACTTCTTCAGTCAGTTTTGAGTCTCACCAGTGTCCCTGCCCTCCCACCCTTCATTTCTTTGAATATTATCATGGCTTTTAACACTGTTTGCAGTGATGTGCTTGCCATGCCTACATGATGCCTAATCGCCATTGGGGATATACACCCGTTTTTTTCCTCACAACTGCGTCCGTAGTCGCGAGGGTTTTTTTCCCGGCTGGCTAGGTCCAGGAAAATTAATCTGACGGTCCCAATTGGTTCTGCATCATGGCCTATTTTTGCTATCCACTGGCACGCCTATTCTATCTGAGACACTCTGTTCTCAGTCCTTGCTTCCATACCTCACTCGTTATCCGGTTCACATCTGGCTGCGGCCAACTACCCTTCACTGTGTATGTTGTCGCTATTGCTGTCTATGTCTCTGTGTATGCCAGTATATGTGCAGCGAGAAATGTCTGGCATAGCTTGTTGGTAAGTTACATCGATTAGCTTGTGGCACATACTTGACATGACAAGGGAACTTATTTGCTTGATTCGACGTCAGTTTTGTACCAGCTGAGCTCATGAAGCAATCTCCTATTTATGGAGTCGAGTAATGCTGATAAATGCATGGCGGAAGCTTAATAACTACTATTGAGGTCTGCATGTAGGGAACATACGTCACAATGAAGCGGAGCTACCTGGCCATCCATGTGTATGCGCATTTTAACACTGACATCTAGCGATAACGTGCTTTTCAAATAACAAAAAAGAATTGTCGTGAAAACATTTTGACTTTGTGACTCGTTAGACTTTCCGGTTTTACAGCATACAAGTCTGTAGGCGCACGCCATTGTTCAGGGTTACAGAAGGAATGTGATTGCCATATTATCCAGCTTGGGGGGAAGCACTTGTGTGTGTGTGTGTGTGTGTGTTTGTCAGTGCGCGTGTGTGTGCGTGTGTGTGTGTGCATGTGTGTGCGCGCGCATGTGTGTGTAAGCTTGTTTGGATGCGATAACTTCACTTTGTCTTCTATAGAAAAATAGACATCTGAAGACTATTTGGACACAAATCGCGATAAACAATATATTTGAGAAATGTTGAGATTTAGAGCTTAGTATGCTCAGAAGGTTCAGGGGCACATTCCAACCTGACTATAACCGCATGCACTTCACAACTGGTAACACATAATGGATTCCCGTTTTGAGTCTTTCCCTCAAACCAGTTAACATAATGGATTTATAATCAAACCGCAACTATCTTTGTTGATCATTTTCCGAAAAAAGGTGAATGGGGTACTATTTGTGCTGGTACTCGTTAGCAACAATCCGAACTAGCGCACACACTGCACTGCATTGCTTTGTACTGCATCCAAGACTGACGTCATGCGCTTTGTTTTGCTGCGTAATCACAAATGGCACCCAGCCTCGTTTCGCTGAAAAGAACAAACAAATCTTGCTTGCCCTGTTGTGCTCTTCCAGACAACGGATCGAGCTTCAGCAGTGTTTCTTTTCCCACCATCCCTCCCTATCCAACTTATTGAAACCATCATTATAATTATCGTACCCACTAATCGGGTCCACTCTCACAACTGGTGTTATCTAGCTATTTGCTGCGACTCTGCCTTGCGCTATAACGTGATTACATTCATTTAGCATTGCAGCTTACGTTGAACTAACAGCAGCTCTACTTTGAGCTAACAGCAGCACTACTTTGAGATAACAGCAGCTCTACTTTGAGTTAACAGCAGCTCTACCTTGAGCTAACAGCAGCTCTACTTTGAGCTAACGCAGCTCTACTTCAAGCTAACAGCAGCTCTACTTTGAGCTAACCGCAGCTCTACGTTGAGCTAATGGTAGCTCTACTTTGAGCTAACAGCAGCTCTACTTTGAGCTAACCGCAGCTCTACTTTGAGCTAACCGCAGCTCTACTTTGAGCTAACCACAGCTCTAGTCTGAGCTAAAAGCAGCTCTACTCTGAGCTAACAGCAGCTCTACTTTGAGCTGACAGCAGCTCTACTCTGAGCTAACAGCAACTCTACTTTGAGCTTCAAACCAGTTGTTTCGAAACCAGCACTCCTCAATCCAAAGATGCCTCATTGCTGACTTGTTTGTTTGAATGATGGGGCTGAATGGGTATAACATCTTAAAGGGGAAGTAAGCCTGAAATCAAATTTTCGCCAGATGTAGTCTTCGGGGTGCTGAGTCGAATGGTCCTGGTCCGAGGAATCTGACACGCTCCCTTCCTCCTGTATTCCCAATTGAACTCGAGCACTTCTACCGAAACTGGGTGACTGAGCCCTACTAGATGGGGATTTGTATGCAAAATGTCACTGAAAGCGCCATGTCGTTCTTATAAAAGCACGGATGACCACGATTGGCCCATATGTTGTAGCCGTTTGGACGCTGAGTCGACTAGTTTTGGTCCGAAAAGGCTGTAATGCAGCGTTTGGCCCTTATGCCCAATCGAACATGGCCGAACAAGCGGTCACGTGCTGCTGCGTACACCAGTCACCTGGTCACCGCGCCAGCAGGCGACAATCTTCACACCAAGGTTCAAATAAAAGGTTCAACTCGAGTGACAGAAACCCAGTTGTACTTACTCTAAGATTGTGCAGAAATAACAAGGTCTACTTACGGATGCAGTGTTTGAGGTCTGCTGCAAGCTGCGGTGCGTAACCCAAGAGGAGACTTAAGAAGAATTGCTCTTGGTGCTTGACAACCTTCTCATCTAACATTGCTTGAATGGCAGCTGGTGTGTTGGGAATGGTGAGAGCTCTTGCACGACTGGAGTTGGCAATCAGTAGCCATTCCGTCATGCAGCTGGTGTCTTCAGTGACCATCGCAGCTGGTGTATCTATTGACAGAGCGACAAAATATTGGAAATTGGAAGTTTGAAGATCAAAAAATTGAAATAAGGTAGGCACAGCCACAATCAAGAATTAGTGTAATATGCCGTCACGGCTATGTCTTCACACTCTAGGGCTAAGCGTGTAGTTTTCTCCAATCCAAAATAGAGCTTGTGTGCAGTCACTTCTCATCCTTCTGCGGGACTACGGGAGTATAATCAATACTTCAAGTATAGGCATAGCCGCGTGTACATGTAATACCGGTGTGCCGCGGCCACAGATTAGTTTAGGATGAAAGGCTTCAATGAAAGGAGAGAGGAGAGAAAGAAACGGGAGTAGTGGATCAAAGGTCAAGACTTTAAACAGACGGTTTTTGCCAAGTTCTAGTATCCGTGCATTGCTAGGATATCACCAAGATTGAACCACCTAAGACAGGAATGTCAGTCCTACTTGGAGTTTAATGGTGAACTATCATCAAGATTCCGGATGCAAACACATTAAAACCAAGTATTGATTTCAGAAGTAATGATACGAAAGGCTTCATCCGATCTACAACTTTGTCTCTTCGTGCGCTAATATGTTTCCCTCATGTTGCGTGGTGATGTCTGAGGCATTCATACTTTCTGTAGCTCTTATCAAACTATTGTGTCTGTATAGATAATACCTGTTCCAGTGCCTGTAAGACGTATCCCCTCATCTCTACCGTCAGGTGCTGCACCTGCCGCTGGATTTATCGGGTGCTTGGGGCCATCTTGACTTCCAATTGGGGAATGGACACGATAATTTACTTTTACTTAATTTGTTATCATCAAGATGATGTTCTGTCCTCATGAAACCCGTAGACTAGTTGTATCCGACTATGCTGACTACAGCGTTACGGTTCTCCAGTCCAAACAGTAAGAACTGGTTTTCAAAATGAAAGTCCACAACTGTGCATCCTGCATTGTTATGTCATATTACCAGGATTACGGTCCTAACCTTCACTAGTAAACACATTACAATCCTAGGTGAGAAATATCTTTTTCCCATTTGCAAATTCATAATGTCAGCTGGTCAGGTTGGCATGATTTCAAAATTATACATGTTTTGATCAATATTTATGCACTTTAGAAAAATGTGGGCACAATGTATCCTATCGAGTCCACCAGCTAAAACAGATTTTGAACGGTCAGACGTGCATAATCTAGCACAAAATCACGTCGGACTGTTCAAAAATCTGGCTTAGTTGGTGGACTCGATCGCACAACTTGTGCACTCACTTTTGCATGCTATAATATTTCCCTTGGTTCACCATCAAAGGTCTTTAAAAATGTATGTACTTTGGATGATAATTGGCGAAATGTTCACGAAGGTACACCGGTTGTGTGGCTACATCTTACATTTTCGTAAAAATAAAATCCGGTGAATACATTAGTTTTACCACGCACTCGCTTCTGAACAGAACAAAATTAATGATGAATTTCAATTCAAACCCTTCTTTTTGCTGCATTTTGTCCAAGACTTATTGTCAATTTTTGCGAAAGGTGAAACGATATCCATGTGAACTAGTGGTGGATCGGTATATAGTACAATAACAAAGCTTCCAATCTCTCTCTTGTGTATGTGTACAATACACAAAAAGCGAGAATTCCCAGAATTCCTAGAGTGCTCAACAGCACAAGTATGGAGCAATACCACAAAGGCAGACGAGAACATATACAAGAGTCCAGATCAGAGTTGGAAAGCTGCGTTTCATTCATACATGTATGGTACGGCTAAGGTAAACCTCAGACAACTGACTCAGTTGTCTGAGGTTTACCTTAGCCCTGCCATGTGCATGAAACGCAGCGTTTCAACGATGATCTAACTGGTTTGCTCTGTTGTCTTGTACATTCTACAATGTACACTGTACATGCATTACTTTCTTGCATGCACTTAGTCGCTGGCTGCTTTGACAGGTTCCTGTCATACAGCTGTCAACAGACCAGCCCTGTGCAGTAGTGAGTTCAGCAGGGGATGCATGACGTTATCAGTTTATGCTTTGGCTCAGAGACCATACAGTCCTGTTAGTGAGTTTTACGCTACAGTGCTGCTGCAGTTATGTACACAAGTCAGTGGACAGCAACAGTTACTGTTTCGCTCTGTTAGAGCTCATCAGCACAGCTCAGAGGACCGAAGCGCAGCTCGTCGCAATGAAATACGTTTCCGTGAAGCAAAGCATTTTTATAAGAGCTCCAAACCCCTTACAGTGGAGACAAAATGCTGTGCAGCTATAACTTCAAGTTAGTCTTGGCCATCATCATACAGCAGCACTTGGATGCATGCCAAATGCTGCTGTATGATAATCAATGAAATGAAAATGGAATTTACAGCCACACCGGCTTCCGCCTCCATTGTATGTTAATACTGATCTACCAATTAGTTCATAGAGCAGTCAGATTTAAGCTGCCCTGACCAATCTGAATGTTTAGTTACTCCTTTAAAATTGTTTCTGACCAGTTATAACAAAATTGAATTGAGTTTCATGCACATCACACCGCTGATTGTCATAAACGTCAACACACACAAGATAACAATGTACATGTACGTCGTCTACAACGTACGTGGTGTTTGACTGTTATCAAACTTCTTACCGCCATCATCCGGCACCACTGGTGTTGGTGAGGCCATAGCCTGTCCACAGTTCACCGTCATCACCAGCAGCAGCAGCAATGGAGCCAGATACAGTAGTAGGCATGCCATGATACTGCCTAGCTGTAGGCTGCGCATAGCTACACCTGATGATCCCAGAGGTTAGTTCGCAGTATCACTATCAGACTAGTGGGTGAGCTATCGGACTCGAGAACACCTGATGATCAACTGGAGAGGAATTGGTTGAGAAACAAGAATTGTGGGCCAGTGAACGTTTTCAGCACCTAATATTCTAACTCACTGCCGCTTATACTCATGTACATATGTTGAGCGGAGTAAAGCTTGAATATGTACATTGCGGCCTTGGCGGCTCCAAATCCGTGCCTGGAACGGCGATCGCGAGTCACCTCACGCCCTAGTAGTGACAACCTGTCTGGTTACAGAACATGACACTGACAGTTTTGCACACAATAAACCAGTCCATGGCTGACAAAGCAACGTTGTCCTACATCACGTATACTCACGCCTGTACACAGTTGAGCATGTCCGTGGTGTTTGCATGCTTGCAGTTGCTAGGTGATGTGTGCTACTCCAAGTACATCTACGAGTCTACTACATAACAAGGTTTATCTAATACTGGTTTTGAACCAGTGTGAGGTTATAATAATAATAATAATAATTATTATTATTATTGCAAATAACGCTGAGTAATTACACGAATGCATAAAAACCAGCATTTGCTTCCGGGAAGGATTCACAAACATAAGACAAAAACACCATGGCTCAATGTAACTGCACATACGAAAAGCAGCATCTATTGTCAAGTTCGAGTGGCAATGTCAGAAAGATGGTAGACTGTTCGGCGTGCACGATGTTCAACCTGCAGGTATTATTATAATAATACCATGTAGTTAATAGTAATGTATTCCAGCTCAACCACATTTGGCGACACCAATATTCCGTTCTACCTACCAATGATCGACACTGACCCACGCTGCTTTCTGGCGTCACGTGGTGATCGCCGCACTGGAAACCGAGTGTCTCTGTACGTTTCCAGGCCTGGTGATGTTTGGAACCACAACATTATACAACCTTGTTGTGGTGCTCTTCGGACAGAATCTTCCTCAGCCCACTCAAGCTCAACTGTTGAAGCGAGGATTCCCGGAAACATGGCCAATTGAGCAGAGAGTGGTGCTTTCCTGGTGAAGTCAAGTCAGCGGGAAAGCGCCAGCTCCGGTGTACGGAGCAACAAACGTTGATATGACTGGAAAAAAAAATTTCGCATGAAAATGATGAATGGATGATGGATGAAGAATGAATTATGTTGAAGTTAAGATGCTATACTGCGCCATTACTAGATGTACTTCTGAAGTAAATAGTAGAACACACATCAGAACTAGTTACAAGTATAGTAACTTTAACATCCAAGACTGTAGCAAGATAATCAGCAGGCTGAAGGTGCAGATCGTCCAAGATCTCAGAGGCATGTCAGTTCTGTGCCTTTTCATTGCACGTTCTGACTGCTTATTATCTTGTTACAATCGTGGATAGTTGTTTCAAAATTAGTTCTCACGTGGTTCCTTCTCTTTTAGATAAATTATTTACTGATGAATGAATGCTTTCACATGAAAATGTTGAATGGTGTTGCCAGGTGGGAACACAACTGAAGAAGATGACCCTCGTCTTACATGTCCTCCTTCGCCTCAGCGCTGAAGGATGCGATCATCCAAAGCAATTACTTGTTGTCTGTTGCTGCTGTGCCACTATTATCAGCTCTTGCACTGTGCTTGTAATTGAAGTAAAAGTGCTGGAAACTGAAATCCGACCCCCTGGGCGGCGCGGCGCGCCGCCCAGGGGGTCGGATTTCAGTTTCCAACGCTGTACATGTACAATTTATACATGTACAGCATTCTTGAATATAAGTAGGATTGTCCGTATTTTGCTGTGGTGATTCAAACAGATTTTGTTGTTTTGAACTTCGAGTTGAACGTTGTCCAACACTTTGGTTATCAAAATATGCTATACGTGTATGGGCACGTGCATGTGTATGCAAACCTACGTCGTTAAGCCGGAGGCATGACAGCGCTGGCACTTGGATGCACTGTAACTTGAATCCAGTGCTGCATTGTAAGTCTCCGCTGTGCAACACATGCTACACGCTATGTATTGTAGTTTGACGTTCATGTACTAGTAAACCTCCACCACACCTAAGACGGGACCTTTCAAAACTGTCACTATTATGCTACGGTAGTGCTGGTTCAACTTTAAAAAAGTAAGGCTCAACTCTCTGCATTACAATCGTCTTAGAAAGCTAGGGAGCAGATTTATTGGTTTGAACCTATAAGCTCGTCTCAATTTGTTGTGGCATACAATTCTAACAACCACCTGGCAATTGTCCTTGGCATGCTCATACATGTATTGCTGCCAGACTAGGAAAATGTAGATACATAATGTTGTATTTCAAGTAGTTACTGAATCTGAGGACAGAACTGTTTCGTCCTTTGTGGACTCATCGGCGCACCACAGAGAAAATTAGGCAGAACCAGATATCGGTAGTAATGAAATGTAAAATTTCCAAAAGCCAGATTTATACCAGGCCGGAAAGTACCTTGCAGGGCTGCTCAAACTGACAAGTCAATGAGCTCTGCATAGCGCAAACAACAAAGTCACTACCCATACGAGAGAGGTCAACTGCTACAACCTCAAGAGGAGGAGCGAAATGCTTTTAAAATCTACGGGCAGAACTGTTTCGTCCTTTGTAGACTCATCAGCGCAGCACAGAGAAAATGAGGCGGAATCTTATGGCAATGAAAAATAGAATTTCCAAAGCCAGATTTAAACCAGGCCCAAACGTACCTTGCTGGAATGCAGTAAATATTGAACTTGGACAGAATATACAGGTATAGGTACATGCAGATAGATAATAGATAGAGTGAATAGAGAGAGTGAATAGATAGAAAGATCTACAGACAGGATACAATGTAGAATAACGGGAGACAAGTTGCATGTTCTAACGCCATGTTTCCTGCCCCACGGCGACTACCAGAAAACAATACAAACTACTAGATTGCTACATAGATGGAAAGAGGGGAGAGAGAGAGTAGAGAGGGGGGGGGGGCAGAGGGATTGGGAGGCAAACAGTTAGTTCTGTTGATTATTGCAAAGTTCTTCGATATGCAGAGTGGATGTGAGGGTACCTGTACCAGGGTGGTAACCCAGGCGATAATCGCTTGTACCGCATTGTGCCTCTATGTGTGTAGAGAACGACAGCGGACCTGAAGTGTTGATATTGCAAATACCACTCACAACACCAGCATGTATTTGAAAGTGGGCTGTTGAACCAGAGCTTCCACTTCTGATAGGGGCTGGGTCTGAACAGTCTCTGCCGTTGATACGCACTGACACCTTCACACAATGCCAATTATTGCCCCCATGCTGAAATCCAATAGAGGTTGTGTACACCACTCTGATAACAGTGTCAGGTCTAGTCTTGTTGAACACGACTCCACTGAACGGGTTTCTAACACTACTCGATGTATCCATTGTAAATGTCTTCCATGATACAATACCGCACTGCGAATGACATACATGTAGAAGATATGATATGAGCGTAATATGCCCAATTTGTGGCACGCGGTAGTGATTGTTAATTAGCCAGAACAATGTTGAGTAGCCATTTTCACTGCTGTCAAACAGGGTTAACTGGGCCGTCGTGAGTTCCATTAGGGAACGGACACGATAATATACTCTTTTTGTTTACTTAAACTCCCGAATAGAGACGGAGGTGAGGTAGTGCTGGGAGACAGCTAAAACAATACTTCTGAAGTTATAAGCAGTTATACCTCAGAGAGCATCAATGGACCAGACTACCAATCTCTCCCGGCCTTAGCCCATCATGAAACTGTTAAGCACAAGCCAAGCAGACTGTGTGTAGGCAGTGGAGACGTCCAGTGGAACAATTATTTACACTACAACTGCCAAACTGTGACAATCTTATCGTTCTCCTCTTTGAAGTTGTCACGTATATTATGTACATATAGGTACAGTTTGTTGACATCTTGCTACTGCCAGTTAGTTTCCTGTTGCGCGTTCTCATTGTTTCTGTAGTTGTGGTTCATTCTTCTCTAACCTGATTCATGACATGTTTGGGTTGTCGTTCACTTGAACCAATCCTGAACTCAGTTGGAACTACTACACGCAGCAGTAAAAACCACTAGACATTGTACAATTACAAATAAAGCTGTGGAAAAAATTGTGGTTTTACCGAATATAGGCTTTCTTACGACTGTGGAAAAGACTCGCAAAGCAGCACCAAGGAGAGCCCTTGTTTCAACATTCACTTGCAAAGAGCATGGTCTGCACCAGTTGACTCTGGAAAATAGGGCATGCCTTCAAAATGAGCTTGGAAGAAAATGTTTATAAAAAAAATTCCTTACATAATAATACGTATCAACATAATCCGATCACCTGCCGGTATCAAGTCTACTATGCATCTCATTTAAACCTGCTTCAAGCCTTCAACAGCCTTCGAACAAAGCTACCCCTCCTCAGTACAGTCCAATTCAGGCTCTCCTTCTTGCACTCTCTTGACTCTAATCTCTCCCTCTCAGGCTAGTCACGTGAATCGATTAGACGCCGAGGCCTCTTTTTAAAAGTCATTTCAAGGAAAGCACTTCATACTCTTAGTCGTATTGCTAGTATTCTATTACATTGCATAACAGAAATGCTTAACTAACCTTCTTTCTTTCCTCCTGCAGAGTAGCACTGATTGTTGAAAGCTGCTCAACAGAATGTTGCTTAATAGACTTGAAATGTTGCTTCGTCTGTTGGAAAAGATTTGAAAAATGATCAGATAGACACTACTGAAGAATAGTAAACGTGTTTTGCAATATATGTATGAAGCTATTTTGTATATAGTATGTTCCCATTCCGTTTTTGCTTTGGTGTAGCCCTGAGGTTGATTGCTTATTTATTTCTACCCTCCTCTCTCCATACTTCTGTCCCCCCCCTCTCTCTCATTCCTTCTGTCGTCCACATGTATCAAAGGAGGCGAAATCGCCTGTTTGTGGTGCGACGTTAAATAAACTTCTACAACAACAACAACAACAACACTAACCCTTTTCTCCGGTGTTTTTCAAATATTCTCATTCATTTTTAATACTGGCATGAATTACAGAATCCTAGATAAATATGTGCATGTTCCAGTCTGAGGATTTAAGTTGCATAATAAACACTGTCACTCTGCAATATGTGAAATACCAAAGATTAGGTGAAAAAGTCGATGTTTGACGACTTGAGCCAGACTGTTTATTAGGAACGTACATGACTGTATCTCTGGATATCTCGACAAAACTACAGAATGTGTGCTCTGACTGATTTCATGTTTTGTTTGGCGTTAGGTAAAAGCTTGTCCTGCCATCTGTGCAAGCAGTCGGGTAAGTTGCTGCCCATTTGGCCAATTGAGCATTGAAGTCTGCTTGGAAGGATTGTGGCAACTCTGTTGTGATTCATGGTTGATTATGATCTCTTGGCCTGGATGGAATACCCTGGTGCAGTGATTGAGATTTCCATCCAGCACATTATTGCAGTTCTGATCTACTCGAGTATCACCTGCTACAAGGAGCTGTGACATATGCCCCTTGATCTGCTCTCAATAACAGAATCCCATGCAAGCCGTACGGCATGCACCTTTCATATCTAGGAAATACTGCATTGCTTTCCTACCTTCTGTCCTTCCTCCGTCAAAGTGGCATTGATTGCAGCAAACTGTGGAGCAGAATGTAGCTGCATGTTCCTGAGGTGTTGCTTTGTCTGTGAGAAGGAGTTCAAGTAAAATGAATTAGACTCAAATGTACCAGGACTTTGCTTGCCCAGAGCTAGCTTGACTACACACTCACTCAGGTTGTCTGAGCATGCCAAAGTGTTCATTGCCTAGCTACCGATTCGGATCACTTCCATTTGCTGTAGCTCTGGGAGAAAAGTACTCTTTAACGTTCTTCAATGCAGACACCGGGTCCTGTGTCTGCTCTTCCGAGAGGTCAAAAGTTATGCGACTCTCAAAATTCTATTGTCTCATGGACGACGTAGGTGTGGGATCTTCCCAAAAAAATTGCGCGAGACTCATTCGGAAACCGAATTTTCCGCATCCGTCGGAACAACACCACCCTTCAAGGATCAAGGCGCAGATCCTCCCAAAACTCGACTGATATTAAATTAGGCTGAGTACTGTGAACTGATTCGAATTTCTACAGGAAAATCAGGTGAGTTTAATGGAGACTTGGTCATGACATCACGGAGTCAAATCCTTACTGAACATCCAACTGTTTACAAACAACAACTTCCTACTCCGTTGTACATGTATGCAGACGTATCACTTTTTTAGTAGCTGTGTCTGCGTTTAAATTTTCAGCCTGAGTGAATCTCACAAGGCGTTTGAGATATTTTCAATTGGATAGGGCACATTCACACACACACACACACACACACACACACACACACACACACACACACACACACACACACACACACACACACACACACACACACACACACACACACACACACACACACACACACAGGCTTGGATGCCTTGTATTATGATACCAGTGAAATACTTCATTGTGGTACGCTTACCCTTTGCCCTTCTTCCAGCAGAGTGGCGTTGATTGATTCAAACTGCTTAGCAGAATGTTGCTGGATGTCCCTGAAGTGTTCTTTAGTCTGTAGAAAGAATTGAATTAAAATCAAAGGAACTCACTTTCCCCTGGGCTTGCATTTCATAACCAAACATATGCAGACCCTAAAATGTCTGTTTTGAACATCTATGGCCCAAATGAAGCCAAAACAAAATATCCGTCCGCTTAGACACTACAGGAAGTTGAGGCATTTTTGTACTTCATATCTTCGATCATATTATGATCACCTCCAATCGCAGCTGGATAATACATTTGCAATAATTGCTATGTTGCATATGGCCACTTGGATTGGAATTCTTGGAGCAGTGTTTTTAATAGCAGGTTCCCTTCCCTTCTTCTCCTGTGATTGCTGGGATACGTTCAATGACGTCATGTCATCCTTAATGGAGAGGAGTTTAACCTTGTTCCGCAAATACAGCGCAAACCAATATCCTGTGTGAAAGGAGCCAAAACAGTACTGCTACATATTGCTGTAGAGTGTCAGAAAAAGTGTTGATTGTGATTAGATGTTTAAAAACCAAACGAGAAAGCCACAAGAGATTGTCACCTGAATTTCCATTTGATCCACCTTCGTCTTCTGCTGGACAAATATGGTTGTCAGTACTTTCATGTCGGAGAGTAGTTTATTGATTTGGAGATCCCTTTCTTCCAGTTTCTCTTCCACATGCTTGTTGTCGGTTTTAACCGCTTCGATTTGGTAGCAAAGCTCGCTGTTTGCAGATGATCCGCACAGATCAACTAGAACGGGTGAAAGCAGAACAAAATTCCTCAAGAATATCAACTGTTATCTTGGATCCGTCCTTAATTATCCATCGCTGCTACCAAACGAAACACATTGCATTTAGGCGTGTGTAGGACTGCCGTGTGCCTGTGTGCATGCCCAGTAGGAATCAACAGAATTTTTAGTCCGACTGAAAGTGATATGGTATGCATCTTTAAAAGCATCTAAAACTGATAGTGGTATGTTATGGCTATGGAGCTGGAAATAACCACATTGCTCGGCTCAGACCTTTCCAATGAGCCTTATATTTAGGAGGTCCAGCAAGGTATGGAAAATGGGGTTCGATTTTGTTCCATGACGTGGATGAAGAGTTTGAAAGGAGGTTTAGTGCGCTGAAAACTCAGCCGCCCTGGGAAAACGAGGCCAACAGTGAACGTGTCTTAATCCCTTTCAAAAGTCAGTGACCATGCTCAAAAGGAAATCCCCGTTACATTTCCTTCAAGCCCATTTGGCACATGTCTATTCACAGATAGTGGAGTTCAAGGGTTCGACGATCTTCCGAAAGGAACAGAATGAAATCTGGTTTTAACCGCTTCGATTTGGTAGCAAAGCTCGCTGTTTGCAGATGATCCGCACAGATCAACTAGAACGGGTGAAAGCAGAACAAAATTCCTCAAGAATATCAACTGTTATCTTGGATCCGTCCTTAATTATCCATCGCTGCTACCAAACGAAACACATTGCATTTAGGCGTGTGTAGGACTGCCGTGTGCCTGTGTGCATGCCCAGTAGGAATCAACAGAATTTTTAGTCCGACTGAAAGTGATATGGTATGCATCTTTAAAAGCATCTAAAACTGATAGTGGTATGTTATGGCTATGGAGCTGGAAATAACCACATTGCTCGGCTCAGACCTTTCCAATGAGCCTTATATTTAGGAGGTCCAGCAAGGTATGGAAAATGGGGTTCGATTTTGTTCCATGACGTGGATGAAGAGTTTGAAAGGAGGTTTAGTGCGCTGAAAACTCAGCCGCCCTGGGAAAACGAGGCCAACAGTGAACGTGTCTTAATCCCTTTCAAAAGTCAGTGACCATGCTCAAAAGGAAATCCCCGTTACATTTCCTTCAAGCCCATTTGGCACATGTCTATTCACAGATAGTGGAGTTCAAGGGTTCGACGATCTTCCGAAAGGAACAGAATGAAATCTGAAGGTGATTGATGGTGGATGCTTCCTGTCGCAAATATTCATGAGTATCTCTGTAGTCTGTTCATGAATATTGAACTTCTATGTTTCTGTCCTTTCTCGACTCCAAAACTCACTGTACGTATGCGGTTTCCTAGACCTGTCAAACTATACTGCATTCGACGCCATCAACAGTATGTCACTTACCTTGGCAGTTAGTACCATCTCCCTTGTACCCAGATTGACAGTAACAAGAGTATGATCCCACAGTGTTATTACACATTGCATGTTCATTACACTGATGTACACCAGCTGTACATTCATCTACGTCTGGACAGTGAGCACAGTGGAATTTATAGCAGATACGTCTTTAACTGTAGGTTGAAAGGTGTTTGTGGACGGAAAGCTCCATCCCGTTCTTTGCTTTAGATGTAAAAAGTCCGCTCGGTTTCTAATTCAACCAATAGCAACTAGCCAAGCCATACTACGCTATCACACAATTCTCTAAGTATCCCGCAGTAGGCGCAGATTATGCTCGCGCAATCATTGCAGAATACTTTCATGGCTGCTCGAATTATGCTCGCAATATCCTCATTATTATTCTTTGGTATGCAGGCATTCTTAATCACGAAGTTGTACTGATGGAACCTCAAAGTTCGGAATGTTATGCGTTTTTCATACTTGCAAGTGGCTACATGCACAGCAAAATAGATGAGTTTCGCCATACCAAGGTGTCCATGCATGCTAGAGATCCGCATAGAAAAGAAAAAAATCATCAGTTGACTTCTTTTGTGAAATACTTCTTCATTGCCAAACTCAGATCGAGCCACCGTTGAACAGTATCTTAATCAACTGTCTTCATTTTCGCCATACTCGTCCGGCACGTCAACCTCACCCTGCGAATAATCAGCTCATCTCTCCCGCAGCTCCACCTCTCCTTTTATCATGACTGAACACCTCGGACCTCGGGTAGACGAGTACAGAATAGTACCCGAAAACCCGAAGTCGCAGATGACATCATGTACAGTGCAGGGAGTCTACGCCGACGTCGCACTAACCTCTTCTTCACACAGTTTCCATAACTAAAATAGCATGCACCACATGCAACTTCCAAAAGGCTCTCCGCAAAATTTGTCTACATTTTTGTTAGCTTTTTGTGAAGACTGACCCAAAGCTTAGGGGTAGAGCATCGCAGGACATTAGAGAGGGTCTCTGGTTCGAGTCTTGGTGGTGACAGTCATTTTGTCTTCAGACCTTTCCAGATTGAAAATTTCCCCTCAAATAAAATGATTTGTGGATTAATGTTTTGTTTGTGGGCTTAGTGAGCTACTTCGGAACATGGTGTAGCTGTCATCCCAGCAAAGACCGTTCATCATTTTCTTCAGATTTCGTAACTCACGCTTCCGTATCTTACAGTATTATGCATAGCTGAATTTACCTCTGTTTAGTAGAAAGGCTCTCGGGGGGGGGGGGGGGGGTACACTTACCCTCACATTCTCGTCCGTTGCCATCAAATCCTGTATTGCACTCACACCCAAATGATCCATAACTGTTAATGCAATAAGCTACAGGCGGTTGGTCACAATTGTTCAGATCTGGTCGACTGCATTCATCAATATCTGTAGAGGAGAAATTTCAAGAACTGATCATGTGGCTTATAACAGGAGTTTTCGATGATGCACAGTGTGCGCTTGCGTGGGTGGTAGTAGTAGTAGTATTTATTATATAGATCTAGGAACCGGGAATCGCCAAGCTGGACCGCTTCCCCGAGCCTGCGGCTGGACACTGGAGTCAAACAGAGCAGCACGCTAGAGTACTACAAGCTCAGAACACAATGCCAGGGCAGTACTAGCTCTGAACACGGTGCCAGAGTATGGTATAAGCAACAGCAGCAGCAGCAACAGCAGCAGCAGCAGCAACAGCCGCTATGCCGGAGCATGGTGATGTATGCCACTAGAGTACAGCTGGTGGTGGTGGGGGTGTATTCTGAACTTTGCTATCCCATTATCGGTGCAGTACCTTCTGCACACTAGTATTATGAAAGAAGCCAGCATTTCACTCACCTACGTCACACTTCATTCCGGTCATTCCTGCTTGACAAACACACACCGCTGACTGTAGTGTAGCGTTGAACACACATTCTCCAGCAACGGAGCAAGGTAGATGCCTTGTTAAATCCGTTGTGGGGCATGATGGCCTTCGACCTGCAATGGCATTTCAGTGAGGGTAGACCAAACGCAACGAAGGAAACTTAGACACGCAGCAAGTCCAAATCCATGAATGCATAATGGATAGGCGAAATCAGTGCATTGCCCAGCTTTCCCAATGTCCTAGCTTGTACAGTCATTGCCAAACAAATCCGGCCAGTGCTATGCTGGCTACCCAGGCGCGTGCCCCGTATGGGTTCCTGGGTGCCCGGAACCCCTTTTTTCACTCAAAATGCAGGATTTTGCTTCATTTTTTGAAAATTTTCCCGGGGGAGGTCCCCCCAAAAACCCCCCTTGAAGGGCACCGGCGCACGCGCCTGCTACCGGTAGCTGTGGCCGCACACACTACCACTGCTAGTATAGTAGTACTACTGTCCGAGTGCACTGAACATGCGCTGCCGTCAAGGCCTGCATATACTCAGTGCAGTGCTCGATACGACTGCAGTAGTCGACTGCATGCGGTGCTGGTAGACTACGAGTACTGAGTGCATGCATTCCGCCATATGAACGGTGAAGGCGTACCATACGCGAAGGACTAAAGGGACCGTCACTTAATTTTTTAATTTTTAATTTTTTTCTGTATCCATGACGACTGTATTAGTGTTTCTCTCAAACCAGTGAATATTGTATTAGTGTGTTTGTGTTTGACCTGTTGTCTCCGTTTTTCTCCAGTAAATATAGTGTAGTTTCTCGCTTGTGGCACGTAAATTCTCCACCAAGTTCTCCCAAGAAGCGCCTCCTCTGCCACTAACTCTACCATCAGTTGGCTTTTGAGTTTTGACGCCTCGTCGACGGTGGCATATACGGCATAGCTGGCTGGTGTGTCAGTTTGTATGGTGTAGGGAACCTAATGTGTTTTAAAGCATCGTTTTGTATTGGGCTCGATCCGGTCAAAACTACTGCACATCCACGTGTCGCATGATCTACAGACAATATTCTCTATCCAGACTACGAACACGAAAGGTACCTAAGTCAGAAACTTCAGCAACCATGCATGGCTGTACGTCTTAGTGCTGGCAAGGAAGGCAAAATATTGCACTTTGGTACGCCAGCGTTGACAGAATGTGGGGCCGCTTTATGCAGGTCAGGTGCGGCACTTGGTATGCTAAAAGTGATGTGACGCAGGTGATTGCTGTTTCTGGTGCAGCGACAATGCAAAAATGCCTGTACTGTATAATGGAAAATTGCCATCAAAATTAGGTAGTCACGGGTACAAGTGTTACTTAACTGGCAGATACCAGGGTTAACTTACGAATGCAGTGTTTAAGGTCTGCTGCAAGCTGGGGTGCGTAACCCAAGATGAGACTTAAGAAGAATTGGTCTTGGTGCTTGACAACCTTCTCATCTAACATTGCTTGTATGGCGGCTGGTGTGTTGGGAATGGTGAGAGCTCTTGCACGACTGGAGTTGGCAATCAGTAGCCATTCAGTCATGCAAGTGATATCTTCAGTGACCATCGTAGCTGGTGTATCTATTGACAAAGGGACAAAATATTAGATATTGGAATTTGAAGATCAGAATGTGTCTGCCCACTCTAAGGCTGAGCGTGGAGCTGTCTCTCAACAGTATTTGAGTTTGTTTGCAATCATCTCTCATCCTCCTATGAGCCTATGCGAGTATAATTATTATAAGCATCTCCGCGTTGAAATGTAATAATAATCGGTATGTCACGTCAACAGCTTAGGTTATGCCGAATGGCTTCAATGAGAGGAGAGAGGAGAGAAGTCAAGACTTTACAAAATGTTTTTGTCAAGTATTAGTATCCATGCATTGCTAGGATATAACCAAGATTGAGCCACCAAGGTCGGCAGAGCATCCCAGACCACGCCACCACTCCCTAACTTGACAGGAACGTCAGTCCTACTCGGAGTTTAATGGTGAACTATCATCAAGATTCCGGATGCAAACACATTAAAACCAAGTATTGATTTCTGAAGTAATGGTGCCAAAGGCTTCATCCGATCTACAACTTTGGTTCTTCGTGCGCTAATATGTTTCCCTCATTTTGCGTGGTGATGTCTGAGGCATTCATACTTTCTCTAGCTCTTATCAAACTATTGTATCTACATCTATATAGTTTTGGAGTGAGCTATCATCAAGATAACACCTGTTCCAGTGCCTGTGAGACGTATCCCCTCACCTCTACCGTCAGGTGCTGCACCTGTCGCTGGATTGTTCGGGTGCTTGGGGCCATCGGGAGATCCATTCGGGAATGGACACGATAATTTACTTTTACATAATTTGTTATCATCAAGATGAAGTTCTGTCCTCATGAAACCCGTAGACTAGTTGTATCCGACTATGCTGACTACAGCGTTACGGTTCTCCAGTCCGGACAGGGAGAACTGGTTTTCAAAATGAAAGTCCACAACTGTGCATCCTGCATTGTTAAGTATTATTACCAGGATTACAATCCTAACCTTCACTAGTAGACACATAACGATCCTAACCTTGACTAGTAGACACATTACAATCCTAGGTGAGAAATATCTTTTTCCCATTTGCAAATTCATAATGTCAGCTGGTCAGGTTGGCATGATTTCAAAATTATACATGTTTTGATCAATATTTATGCACTTTAGAAAACTGTGGGCACAAGGTATGCTATCGAGTCCACCAGCTAAAACAGATTTTGGACAGTCAGACGTGCATAATCTAGCACAAACGTACGTCAGATTGTTCAAAATCTGGTTTAGTTGGCGGAATCGGTCGCGCAACTTGTGCACTCACTTTTGCATGCTAAAATATTTCCCTTGGCTCACCATCAAAAATCTTTAAAAAAATTATGTACTTTGGATGATAATTGGGGAAATGTTCACGAAGATACACCTGTTGTCTGGCTACATCCCTCATTTTCGGTAAAATAAAATCCGCCGAACACCTTTACCACACACTCGCTTCTGAACAGAACAAAATTTATGATTAATTAAAATTCAATCCCTTCTTTTTGCTGCTTTTTTTCCAAAGGATTATTGTCAATTGTTACGAAAGGTGAAACGATATCCACGTGAACTAGTGGTGGATCTGTGTACATGTCCAATATACAAAAGCGAGAATTCTCAGAATTCCCTGAGTGCTCAACACCACAAGGATGGAGCAATACCACAAAGGCAGACGAGAACATAGACAAGAGTCCAGATCAGAGTTGGAAAGCTGCGTTTCATTCATACATGTATAGTAGGGCTAAGGTAAACCTCAGACAACTGATTCAGTTGTCTCAGGTTTCCCTTAGCCTTGCTATGTACATTAAGGTGGCCCCATACATGGCTAAAAAAACGTGATATTTTGGACTTGGAGCAAAATTCTGCACACTTTCGCGTGTTTCCATGATACGACAAGTTGCGCACGGTCTGTTCACAATCACTACAGTGCTGCCAAAAAATGACAGCGTGCAACAAAAAATCTTTCCTTGCAAGGGCATATTTTCGGCCATATCTCTTGAAGGGCTGGTCAGATCGAGACAAATTTGTCAGAGATTTTGCAGCTATGCATTCTCTTTGAACTGATGTAGCGTTCGACATAAATTTACAAATTCGATTTTTTAGGAAATCTTTGGGTGATATGCCTACCCATAAATTTCATATGGCATTCAATTGACCGTAACTTTGGTGTCTCTCAATGGATTTGAGTGACATTTTCACACACACTCCTGCCACTATCCTGGTCCTCTGGACATGATTTAAATGTTCTTGCGCCTCACTGGAATGGCTTTCCAGGCCGGAAAAACTCAAAATTCCGGCATAGTGCCACGGTGTGCGAGCCATCCAGGAGCCAAAAAAATGCATTTACAAATTTTTTTCACATTTTCTTGCCCATTCTGTCCCTGCGCGGGATCCAAACCTAAAAGAAGTCCAGAAGCAGCCATGGGTGATGGGATAGGGCCCTCAACGTGCCCCTGGAATTTGTCACAACGGCACGAGTGGGCGTTCTCTCACAGACTGCCACAGACCGAAGTAAATTTTTAATTTTTTTTTGTTTAGCACGTGCTACGAGGTCGTACCTTTGATACAACATCCAGTGCTGGGACCTCCACAGCAAGCCATTTCCACAGCGCTGCAAACCAAATCCAGGATACCCGCAAAATCGGCAAAGACTACCACTCACGTTCCACAACTGCCTAGTACTGAATCCTACCTGACTTCTTGACACGACTCAAACTTGCCAAAGTCACTAACTCAACGTCAACTACAATAATCAAGCCACATATCTGCAACGTAACGGGGGTGCTGGCAAAAGTCCTGCTGCATGGCGGCGGGCGAAGCCCCCCCCCCCCCCCGCTATGCAGCCCAAAACATTGCTAAAAAACGTGATTTTTGGACTTGGAGCAAAATTCTGCACACTTTCGCGTTTCCATGATACGACAAGACGGTCTGCCCAGATTCAAATACAGTGCTGCCAAAAAATGACAGCGTGCAACAAAAAATCTTTCCTTGCAAGGGCACATTTTCGGCCATAACTCTTGAATGGCTGGTCAGATCGAGACAAGATTTTCAGAGATTTTGTAGCTATTCATCCAACAATGATCTAGCTGATTTTCTCTGTTCTCTTTTACAGTCTACTATAATTATGTATGTACATGCATTACGTTCTGGCATGCAATTATTTTGTACTACTTTGTGTCTGGCTGGTTTGACAAGTTCCTGTCATACAGCTATCACCAGACCAGCCCTGTGAGTGCAGCAGGGCATGCATGACTTTATGCTTTGGCACATACAACTGTATAGCCGGTGGTAACGCGGACGTGCAAACTTTACTTTACTTTACAGAGATCATACAATACTCTTAGGCTGCAATGCTGGTACATGTATGAATTGTACAAATTGCTAGCTGTACATGTACACATACAATGGAGACAAAATGCTGTGCAGCTGTAACTTCAGGTCTTGGCCACCATCACACAGCAGCATTTGGATGCATGCCAAATGCTGCTGTATGATAATCACCGACATGAAAGTTGAATTCACAGCCACACTGGCTTCCGCCTCCATTATGTCGTCACTGTTATTACTGTTCTATACATTAGTTCATAGAGCACTCTGAAGTCTGATTCAAGCGGCATCGACCAATCTGAATGTGTAGATAGTCCTTTACACAAGAGAGATAGATTGGAAGCTTTGTTACAACTCTGAGGTTCACGTAATACTACGATCAGCAGGCAGCTGATGGATCCAAAACAGGCAGCCAGAACATAAGGGGGAGCAAGGTGGGAAATTCCGAGCGGTATCATAATCCTATAAAACTGTTTCTGACCAGTCATAATGATCACAATGTACATGTACGTCGTCTACAACGTACGTGTGCATGGACGTTGGGTTTGACTGTTATCAATCTGCTTACTGGCATCATCCGGCACCACTGGTGTTGGTGTGGCCATAGCCTGTCCACAGTTCACCGTCATCACCAGCAGCAGCAGCAATGGAGCCAGATACAGTAGTAGGCATGCCATGATACTGCCTAGCTGTAGGCTGCGAATAGCTACACCTGATGATACCAGAGGTTAGTTCGCAGTATCACTAACAGACTACTGGGTCAGCTCTCTGACTCGAGAACACCTGATGATCAACTGGAGAGGAATTGGTTGAGAAACAAGAATTGTGGGCCAGTCAACGTTTTTAGCACCTATTCTAACTCACTGCCGTTCATGTACATTCAAACGTTAGACGGAGTACAGCTTGAATATGTACATTGCGGCCTTGGCGGCTCCAAATCCGTGCCTGGAACGGCGATCGCGAGTCACCTCACTCCCTAGTAGTGACAACCTGTCTGGTTCCACACATGACACTGACAGTTTGACACACAATAAACCAGTCCATGGCTGACAAAATAACTTTGTCCTACATCACGTATACTCACGCCTGTACACAGTTGAGCATGTCCGTGGTGTTTGCATGCTTGCAGTTGCTAGGTGATGTGTGCTACTCCAAGTACATCTACGAGTCTACAACATGTCCATGCTCATGTGGTTACTATAAATGTATTCAAGCTAGACCAGATGTAGCAACACCAATATTATTCCGTTCTGCCTACCAAGGATCGACACTGACCAACGCTGCTATCTGGTGTCACGTGGTGATTGTCGCACCACTGGAAACTGAGTGTCTCTGTACGTTTGCAGCCCTGATGATGTTTGCAGCCCTGGTGATGTTTGCAGCCCTGGTGATGTTTCCGGCCCTGGTGATGTTTGCAGCCCTGGTGATGTTTGGCACCCAGAACATTATACTAACCCTCTTGTGGTGCTCTTCGGACAGAATCTTCCTCAGCCTACTCCAGTTCACTGTTGAAGCGAGGATTCCCGGAAACATGGCGCATTTCCTGTTCTGTGCTTGAGTTTTTGTGATTTTACAGGTATTCATCCCAAGTGGTGATGGGTTTTCACCACAGTTCAACCGGCGGTCTCGAGGTCCCTTGCGTGAGGAACTCCCGCCATTTTCCTAATCAACATTCCAATTACCGCTATCTTCTGGAAGAACGCTCTCTCTCTACTCACTGTCAATCCCTTATTACACAGGATATCAGTGTGGACAGTGGCATATACCGTAAAACAGCATACATCTTACCACACTTCTTTCTTGCAATATGATGATTTCTTTTGACCTTTATGACAACCCCATTTCATTATTGCAATTTCAAATTTCATTATTGTTATTAACTTATTACTATTGCCAGGTCTCATTGTTGTAGCATCAATGTATGCATGCTCTTATACCATTAACTTTCCAACAAGTTTAAAAAAATGGAAACCGAGCACAGACGTGTGTATGTGTCTTTGCGTGTGTTTCGTGTTCGTGCACAAGGAAGCAAGATAGTGGGTGGGTGGCTATGACAGACAGATTATATTGAGTCACACTCTACTGTACTTTGGTCTTTGGTCTTATTATATCTATGATAGTATTGTGCGTCACAACAAGACATCTCGGATCTCATCTCGGATCTCAATGCAATACTCCTCTGTGCTTTTATAGTGCCACAAAATCAATGGAAAAAGAAATAAAATTGAAGATAGGCTGGGGTTTGAACCCACAACTTCATAGTCCACAGACAGCAAAATAATAGCAAAAAAGGTTATGAGTTGAAGATAGGCTGGGGTTTGAACCTACAACTTCATGGTCAGCAGACAGCATGCATAACCACGAGGCCAAACAGACATACGTAAATCGCGGGTTTTTGATAAAAATCGCTACTGGCGTCCTGGGCAAAGTCGAAACCATTGGAAAAGGCCGGAAACCTGGCCGAAATTCTAACTCCTTAACGGCTGGTCCAATTGTTCCGAAACCTTCACAGAAAAATTTGCCGTGTCCTAACAAGCCATTCCATGTACTTTGTTGTCCAAATTTCTCTTATCTTCATACTTTTTAGGACCCAAACCTGATTGTAAATCTTTTTGAAACAGACCGTACATGTATTGGTTACAGTGAAACCTGTCTAAGACGACCACTCAAGGGACCTTCAAATTCTGGTCTCTGTTACCAGGTGGGCTGCTTATCCAGGGTCATTAGACTGGAAATAGCAACCCTTGGTTCTGGCTAAAGTGGTCTTCTGGGGCAGGTGGTCGCCTTATCCGAGTGGTCGCCTTGACAGGTTTTACTGTACATGTACTTGACAATCAGTTCATGCGATAGCATTGCACGACACTGAAACTATTGTTAGTTGTAGAATGTCAGTACCGTCGGTCAGTGTCGTGCAATGTTATCGCATGAGCTGATTGTCAGGTAAATGGTGATGTTAGTGGACCTTATAGCATAATTTGTAGTTCCTTGGTCATTAAATTTCTGTAAAGCACCGCTGGATCTCCATCTGAGTCCACTGTGAATCTTACTGTGTAAACAGTTCTTCTGAAAACTGCAAATTTCATGAAAATTGGGACAAAGAAACGTAAAACAGCTGATGACGCCCGCATGGGTGCAAATTTGGAAGAGATCTACATGTATTTGAAGCGGGGCAGTGAAGGACTAAACACGTTTCTGCAGTGACTAAAGAACAATTGTATGATAGCCGAAATAGAAAGGCAGTGAGTTCATCGTATTCATTACGAAACACAGTATTTCATACTGGCAGCAGACATATACAATGTAGATGCATTTGAAACAGACTGCGGGTATTGTTGAGACGTAGACGACCATAGACATACAAGTACATGTACTCGTGCTGGTCGGTGTTGGTACGGGAAAGATAATAGAATGCACAGGAGAAGTTTTAGTAAAGATACAACTTGGCAAGGGGAGGCTGGTTAGAATGTATAGGATAGAGTGGGTGGATACAACAACAAAAATCGACGGGTTCGCGTACCGGGCAGGTCAAGAACAAGGAGTCGTACAACTCCCGGGTCAAGAACTACCTTTCGGCTTCCGTGGGACGCCACCACCCCATGATCATGCGTCAGATGCGCCTCCTAAACGGTGGGGATGGATAGATCAATGGATGCAAAGAATGTTCAAACGATTGGGTAAGCTGTAGAAGGAACAGGAAACAAGTTGAATGTTAAAAAGAAAAGAGACAAGAGCACTGTATACTGTACTAGTACAAGTAATAGACCTTTTTCTGTACTTGTGCGCTCATATCTGCCAGTAAAAGTGGCTTCTTCAGTACACTTAAAAAAAAGGTTGAGTGTTTTAACGCCGTGTTTCCAGCACCAGGGCGACTACCAAACACAGGTACAAACTTCTAGATTGATACAAAGATGGTAAAATGGAGAGATAAGATAGGGGTCAGGGGATGGGGATGCAAATACCTAGTTCTGTTGATTATTGCAAAGTTCCTCGATATGCAGAGTGGATGTGATGGTACCTGTACCAGGGTAGTAACCCAGGTGATACTGGGATGTACCGCATTGTGCCTCTATGTGTGTAGAGAAGTACAGTGGACCTGAAGTGTTGATATTACAAATACCACTCACAACACCAGCATGTGCCTGATAGTGGGCTGTTGAGCCAAAGCTTCCACTTCTGATCGGGGCTGGGTCTGAACAGTCTCTGCCGTTGATACGCACTGACACCTTCACACAATGCATTGCAGTGTTCGGATGATAAAATCCAATAGAGGTTGTGTACACCACTCTGATAACAGTGTCAGGTCTTCTCTTGTTGAACCGAACTCCACTGAACGGGTTTCGATGGCTACTCGATGTCTGCATTGTAAATGTCTTCCAGGATACAATACCGCACTGAAAATGACATACATGTAGAAGTAGATTACAAACATGCACATGATATGAGTGTAATATGCCCAATTTGTGGCACGCGGTAGTGATTGTTAATTAGCCAGAACAATGTTGAGTAGCCATTTTCACTGCTGTCAAACCCAGGAATAGGGTTTACTGGGCCTTCGTGAGTTCCATTAGGGAACGGACACGATAATATACTCTTTTTGTTTATTTAAACTCAGGAATAGAGACGGAGATGAGGTAGTGCTGGGAGACAGCTAAAACAATACTTCTGAAGTTATAAGCAGTTATACCTAAGAGATCATCAATGGACCAGACTAACAATCTCTCCCGGCCTTAGCCCGTCATGAAACTATTAAGCACAAGCCAGGCAGACTGTGTGTAGACAGTGGAGACGTCCAGTGGAACAGTTTACACAACAACTGCCAAACTGTCACAATCTTATTGTTATCTTCTTTGATATTGTCACATATAGGTACAGTTTGTTGACATCTTGCCACTGCCAGTTCGTTTCCTGTTGCTCGCTCTCATTGTTTCTGTTGTTGTGTTTCACTCTTTTATAACCTGATTCATGACATGTTTGGGTTGTCGTTCACTTGAACCAATCCTGGAACTAAGTTGGAACTACTACACGCAGCAGTAAAACCAACTAGACATTGTACAATTACAAATAAAGCTGTGGAAAAATTGTGGTTTTACCGAATATAGGCTTTCTTACGACTGTGAAAAAGACTCGCAAAGCAGCACCAAGGAGAGCCCTCGTTTCAACATTCACTTGCAAAGGGCATGGTCTGCACCAGTTGACTCGGGAAAACAGGGCATGCCTTCAAAATGAGCTTGGAAGAAAATGTTTATAAAAAAATCTTCCTGACATAATTGTACGTATCAACATAATTCGATCACCCGCCTGTACTAGTCAAGTCTACTCTGCATCTCATTTAAACCTGCTTCAAGCCTTCACCAGCCTTCGAACAAAGCTACCCCTCCTCAGTGCAGTCCAATTCAGGCTCTCCTTCTTGCACTTTCTTGACTCTAATCTCTCCCTCTCAGGCTAGTGAATCGATTAGACGCCGAGGCCTCTTTTTAAAAGTCATTTCAAGGAAAGCACTTGTTACTCTTAGTCGTATTGCTAGTATTCTATTACATTGCATAACAGAAATGCTTAACTAACCTTCTTTCTTTCCTCCTGCAGAGTAGCACTGATTGTTGAAAGCTGCTCAACAGAATGTTGCTTCATTGACTTGAAATGTTGCTGCGTCTGTTGGCAAATATTTGAAAAATTATCAGATTGACACAAAGCCCTTTTCTCCGGTGTATTTCAAATATTCTCATTCATTTTTAATACTGGCATGAAGTACAGACACCTAGATAAATATGTGCATGTTCCAGTCCGAGGATTTAAGTTGCATAATAGGCACTGTCATGTTGCAATGTGCGAAAGGCCAAAGATTATATGAAAAAAGTCGATGTTTGACGACTTGAGCCGGACTGTCATTTGGAACGTACATGACTGTATCTCTACATATCTCGACAAAACTACAGAATGTGTGCTCTGACTGATTTCATGTTTTTTTGGCGTTAGGTAAAAGCTTGTCCTGCCATCTGTGCAAGCAGTCGGGTAAGTTGTTGCCCATTCGACCACTTGGATTCTGCTTTTGTAAGGATTTTAGAAACTCTGTTGTGACTCACGGTTGATTATGATCTCTTGGCCTGGATGTATGGAACACACAGGGGTGCAGTGGTTTGGATTTCCATACTTTTAGCACAGTTCTAATCTACTGGAGTATCACCTGCTGCAAGGAGCTGTCGCATGTGCCAGTTGATCTGCTCTGAATAACTGAATCCCACGCAAGCCGTACGGCATGCACCTTGCATATGGAAACACTGCATTGCTTTCCTACCTTCTGTCCTTCCTCAGTCAAAGTGGCATTGATTGCAGCAAACTGTTGAGCAGAATGTAGCTGCATGTTCCTGAGGTGTTGCTTGGTCTGTGAGAATGAGTTCAAGTAAAATGAATTAGACTCGAATATACCAGGAATTTGCTTGCCCAGAGCTAGCTTGACTACATGTACACACTAACTCAGGTTGTCTGAGCATGCTAAAGTGTTCATTGCCTAGCTACCGATTTGGATCATTTCCATTAGCTGTAGCTCTGGAAGAAAAGTACTCTTTAACGTTATTTAATGCAGACACCGGATCCTGTGTCTGCTCTTCCAAGAGGTCACAAGTTACACTATTCTCAAAATTCTATTGTCTCACGGATGACGTAGGTGTGGGATCTTCCCAAAAACTCGACTGATATTTAATCAGGCTGAGTACTAAGAACTGATTCGACTTTCTACAGGAAAATTCACGTGAGTTCAATGGAGACTTGGTCATGACATCACGAGTTCTAATCCTTACTGGACATCCTACTGTTTACAGGACAACGACATCCTACTGCGCTGTACATGTATGCTCGCGTGTCACTCGTTCAGTAGCTGAGCCTACAATTAAATTTTCAGTTTGAGATATTTCAATCGGATAGGGCACATTCACATACACAGGCTTGGATGCCTTGTATTATGATACCAGTGAAATACTGCATTGGTATGCTTACCTTTCGCCCTTCTTCCTGCAGAGTGGCATTTATTGATTCAAACTGCTTAGCAGAATGTTGTTGGATGGTCCTGAAGTTTTGCTTGGTCTGTGGAAAGAAATGGATTGAAATCCGCAAAGAAACACACTTCCACCTTGGCTTGCATTTGTTGACCAAACGGATGCAGACACGACAGCGTGTTTTTTGAACATATATGGTGGAAATGAAACCAGTAAAAATATCCACCAGCTTAGTCACTACGTCTAAGACCATGATTGAGAAACGAGAGGTACCAGGTTCAAGTCTTGCTTGGAAGCGGAAGGATTTTTCCAACCGTGCTGCGACCCACAGTAACTGTTAATTGGGAACTCGTGACCTGGCATGAGTAAAACATGGATGCGGCAAATGGATTGAGGCCTTTGGCCTCTGGTTGGTGTGGATCTGATCTAGCCTCTCCCACGGTTTAGGAGCCGCATCTGACGCCTGATCACGGGATGGTGGCGCCACACGGAAGCAGAAAGGTGGTTCTTGACCAGGGAGTTGTACGACTCCTTGTTCTTGACCTGCCCGGCACGCGAACCCGTCGATTTTAATTTTTTTCAATTTTTAATCACTACGACAAGTCGAGGCATTTTTGTACTTTATAACTGCAATCATTCTGTATGATTGAGATATTTTCAATCGGATATGGTACATTCACACAGGCGTGGATACATGTTAATATCAGTGAAATACTGCATTGCTCTGCTTACCTTTCGCCCTTCTTCCTCCAGAGTGGCATTTATTGATTCAAACTGCTGAGCAGAATGTTGTTGGATGGTCCTGAAGTTTTGCTTGGTCTGTGGGAAAGAATTAAGTTTTAACCGCAGGGACACATGCCCATCGCTGGTAACCAAACAGATGCAGAAATTTAAGGTTTTGTGTGTGTATATTAATACTCCAAACGAAGCGAGTAAAATGATTCGGCCTCTGAGACACTTGCTGTAATTATTTGTACGTATATCTTCCACCATTCTGTGGTTGGTCTTAACTGATCACCTCCAGTCGTTGCTGGAAATATTATTTACAAAGATATCAGTACTGCATAATGTACATATGGGTTGGAATGCTTGGAGCAGATTGCCGAGTGTCTGCATTTTCTATCACACTTTACCTTCTTCTCCTGGGCTTGTTGGGATAAGTTCAATGACGTCATTTCCTCCTCAATCGCGAGCAGTTTTATCTTATTCTGCAATTATAGCGCAAACACAGTAATCCGTGTGAAAGACTGTAGATTTAATGCTGGTTAAACTCGGATACTGAGCCAGTCATAAATGTAAAAAAGAGAAGAAACACATGAGAACGAGTTATGCAGCAACTATCCACGACTGTAACAAGATGATAAACGGTCAGAAAGTGCACTAATATGGCACAAAACTGAGAGGCTACTGAGACATTCAGCGACCCGAGACCTAGCTCTAACACATCTCCAGGGCGCAAACCAACGCCTTCCAACTTGGAAGGCTCATGGTTACGTAGGACGAAGAGGGGAAGGTGAGCGGAGCGAAAATGTGCACAAGCTAAGTCCCGCGGCAAAAAAGAATGCCGACTGTTACAGGACGATGACGAGACCAGTTAATAACATGAAAATGCGGTCTGACTTGTAAATATAGAGATAACACTGTGGTAAATCGACTGCTTGTATTGTTACAATAGTTCTGACGATATTAGTTATTTGATTGTATTCTTACTTTGTAGCTGCGTCCAGGCTCGTTGGAATTCTCATCACGGACTCCATTCTAGTTTCGAAGAGATATAATTATATTCTTGTCCAATTGTTCTCAACAAATTCCTCGTCTTGTGTATTTGTTATCAAACAAATTCTTCGTAGTATTTGCAGTACGTAGTCTCGCGCTCTTTGATTTGTTTGACTCGCGCGTGACTTTCCTTTCTTTTCTTTTTGTCATGTATGACGTATCGGTATGACGTGAGTGTGTACGCACTCTGTTTATGACCACGTGACTGCATGCTCACGTGGAACTACAGTCAGTAGGCTAGTGCATTTTAGCGACTGCAGCGATCCGATCTTCTTGCTGCAGCGCTGTTTCTTCTTCTTCACTTGTGTCTTTTCTTTGGTCGCTGCACTAGTTTGTGATTACCATGATTACGCGTCAATGGACGACATGGTCGCCATTTTGTGCATGTCCTTTTTCCTGATGGATCTTGGATCTCGTGGAAAAAGAAGGGTTTTCTTTTCTCCCAACTTTACCACTATTTCAATATTTCAACTCTCTTGATTCCTTGTTAATAGTTGTGGCTCAGTGCATGTGCGAGTGTGCTGGAGTGCTAGCTGGAAGAGATAGAGAGCATAGTGGTGGAGTAACAGACTACAATTCGAAGCAGCAAAGCAACACACCACCCAACTTGGGTGGGCCAGCAATATCAGAGATAAAGGAAGGGGGAAGCTTCGCGAAGACGAATTGTACAAAACTGGACGCCAATATCTAACGGTACGCCTCATGCATGATACTATTGTGGACGAGTTGACTACGTAACCATGAACCTTCCGAGTTGGAAGGCTGTTGGTTTGCGCACTGGAGATATGTTAGAGCTAGGTCTCGGGTCGCAGAATGTCTCAGTAGCCTGTGAGTTTTGTGCCATATTATCGCACTTTCTGACCGTTTATCATCTTGTTACAGTCGTGGATAGTTGCTGCATAACTCATTCTGATGTGTTTCTTCTCTTTTTACATTAAATGCCTCAATGCTGTGTCATACTTTTAGGCTTGGAAACAGGGAGGAATACGATGCACGTGCAAGGAGTGGATGGAACAATTTCCAGGCTCACAGATATTGGTGAGGCATAACAGGAAAGTTGAAGCAGTGATTTTGATGATGGGCACTGATTGCTGACCAAAGTTGTCACCAATGGGTTCGCTCAGAAACACGTTGAACATTTTGAAAACATCCTAAATAACAATATCTACGTTGGGTTGTAGTGTGTCACTACAAGATTGATTTGGTGACTGTAATCAGAAGTTAAAACAAAACAGGGAGGCCACAAGCGTTTGTGTGTGTACCCTTTCCCGTCGCTGGTAACCAAACAGATGCAGAAATTTAAAGTTTTGTTTGTGTACACTAACACTCCAAACGAAGCCAGTAAAATTATTCGGCCTCTGAGACACTTGATGTAATTTGTACGTATATCTTCCACCATTCTGTGGTTGGTCTTAACTGATCACCTCCAGTCGTTGCTGGAAATATATTTACAAAGATATCAGTACTGCATATGTACATCTGGGTTGGAATGCTTGGAGCAGATTGCCGAGTGTCTGCATTTTCTATCACACTTTACCTTCTTCTCCTGGGCTTGTTGGGATAAATTCAATGACGTCATCTCCTCCTCAATTGCGAGCAGTTTCACAAGTTTTATATGAGCCGTCAGATGAGAAAACAGACCTTATCGAAAAACTGTACAGTGCAGAAAAGTGCACTTGAAAGTTGGCGAGTTTACCCACTGGTGCGTCTGGACAACCAAGCTACAAACCGTCTTATTTCAGTCAAATATCGGTCTTTTGGGACAATCCAAGTATGTAAATCGAAGAGAAAACTCCAAGGAATCCAATGCAGCAAGCGCGATCGTGGCACGATGCTGCGTTCCCGAGATGCGAAGCCTGCAAGATACGTCACGGCACTTTGCATTTCTACACGCGAGTCAAACGCTCCAGACCAGGGATTTCCCCCTTTTCAAGCAATCTACGATCTCGGCAACAGGCTCAGTCAGACGTCTTGGAAGCGCTCACTGCATCTTCACGAAAAAAATTGGGCGTCCTGGGATAATGGAGATGGAAATGGCGAGCGATTTTCGTGTGACGGCGCAAGTCTAGCGCTGAAGCGATGTCTGAAGCTTGTTGCGCTGGAGCTGTGCTTTATTTGCTATCGGATTTGGGCCCAACGGGTTGCTTGTAGCCAGAGCTTTCCAGAAAGCCCAAGTTTGTTGAAATCGGTCAAAGGAAACAGAAAATATTATCCAAAGTAGGTGAAACAATTGTTGGTATTGCACCCAAAATTGAGGTGCAATTTGTAATGGTCTCCTACTGTCGAGGCTATAACTTTACTTTCCCTGGTCCAAATCAACTCTAGTTTTCTGCATACGATTTCTGGTGCTCCTGGCAATCAGATAGCACCACAAACAAAAATATGACTTTTTTGTGATAAGGTCTGTTTTCTCATCTGACGGCTCATATTACTCTGCAATTATAGCGCAAAAAAACAGTAACTCTTTGTGTGACATACTGTTCATGAATTTCTGTGTCCTACTTTTGTCTTGGAAACAGGAAGGAATGAGATGCAAATGGAAGGAGTGGATGGAACAATTTCCAGGCTCACAGATATTGGTGATGTATACTAGTAACAGGGAAGTTGTAGCAGTGATTATGATGATGTGCACTGATTGCTGACCAAAGTTGTCACCGATGGGTTTGCTCAGAAACAAGTTGAACATTTTGAAAACGTCCTAAAATAAGAATCTCTACGTTCGATTGTAGAGTGTCACCAACAGAATGATTTCGTGACTGTAATCAGAAGTTAAAACGAAACAGGGAGGCCACAAGCGATTGTGGGTGTACCTGAATCTCCATTTCATCCACTTTTGTCTTCTGTTGGACAAATATGGTAGTCAGTACTTTCATGTCGGAGAGTAGCTTATGGATTTGAAGATCCCTTGCTTCCAGTTTCTCTTCCAGCTGCTTGTTGTATGTTTTAACCTCTTCAATTTGGTAGCAAAGCTCGCTGTTTGCAGATGATCCGCACAGATCGACTAACACAGGTAAAATCAGAGCAAAGTTGCAGAACAAAATTTTTTTCACGATAATCATTGTTTTTCTAACAGGCGGCGAGGTGACAACAATTTTAAGATGGCAATAAACAGAATCAACTGAAGAGACATGTTACGAAGGTTTTATTGAGATGTGAAGTGGAATGGTCTTTGTCCATTACCACTTTACATCTCAATAAAACCTTTGTAATATTACGCTTCAGCTGATTCTTTTTATTGCCATCTTAAAATAATTGTTTTTCTTTCCCTGATATTCAATGTTGTGCATTCAAACCCAGTCAGTCCCAGACGTTGAAAAATTCTTCATGAATTGCCTCACGGAGTCTTTCTCTGCGGCTGACCACACGCACTTCCCAAAAAAGCAAGAGGTTCCTTCTGACCACCTAATTCATTCGCCGGCTGTTTTCTGTCAATGACACCTGATCAGAAATTTGGTGGAAAAATATGCACAAAGCTGCAGCCTCTTTCTGTGGTAGGAAGTGTATGTGGTTGGTCACAGATCGCGATGGATCCGTACTCGGAGATTAACTTTCCGGACTTCTGCCCTTCCAAAATTGGAATATTTATCATGCAAGTCAGTGAAGTCTTTCCAAGCGTATTGTGCTTCTTTGTGTGTCTCGTCCTGGGTTTGTCCATATCTAGTACTTGTAATATTGAACACCGTCAACAATGTGACACTTACCTTGGCAGTTAGTACCATCTCCCTTGTACCCAGATTGACAGTAACAAGAGTATGATCCAACAGTGTTATTACACATTGCATGTTCATTACACTGATGTACACCAGATATACATTCATCCAGATCTGGACAGAGAGCGCAGTGGAATACATAGCAGAAAGATACTGATACATCAAGACTTTCAGTAAGAAACGTGTTTCTCTAGTACAAAACAGAACCAGTATTTGCTTTCTTGGCATTAGATGCACGCGGTCCGTTCAGTTTTCGAACAAACATAGAGGTAAACTGGCATTGGCAAAAGGCACATACAGGTAAATGAAGGGTCAATGATTGAAATAGACTGCACACAATGCAATCTTCAAGAGAATTCCCAGGAAAAGTCTTTATTATTTATTATTATTATTTCACCGTCCAATAACAGAAGCCAATGCAAAGGAGGGGGCGTTAGCCAGCCACGGCAAGAGAAGAAAAAATGAGGGTGTCCGTCATCATGTCACAAAATGAGGTAAGTTCAGGTAGGGATTGCGAAGGAGGGCGATACTGACAGCGAATGAGTATAGGATTAGCACCCAGGTCTGCAGGAAGTCCAAGCTCAACCCATATGTTTTCGCGTTGGGGAGAGTCAAGGTCTGAGCGCTGGGCTGCATGCAAAAATGTCCCATCTCGTACAAGGATGGCAACACCACCATAACCTCGGAACTGGGCCCTTTGGTTTGCTGGTATTTGCCTATCTCG